GATGACAGTGGACCTAATGAGATCCCTTCATCATTTGTGAAATATGGTAGTAAATAATTCCCACTATTCTGTTTAAAACTGTTCAACCTGTCTATAGAATATGAAGCCTAATCATCTTTATGAAAAATCTCTAATCACTCGTAGATTCGAAACGGGATCAAGTAGTGATATTGTTAAATAAAGGCCCATTAACTTGACATCTGTTGTATCAAGAACCATGGAAAAAGTCATCCACTAACAGCTTTTATCATTTTCACTTTCAGCTAGTCTGATTAACTAATCCCAACACGGGTTTATAACTGAACGTTCATGCTTCACATTGCACCTGGAATTTTTCGATCAAATTACCCAGAGAAGAGACGTTGGTCAGTCGGTGATAATTCTATACTTCGATTTTAGTAGGGCTCTCGACAGTGTCTCACATAAAATTCTTCTTCTAAAACTCTCTTCATTTGGCATACAGAATCCACTGTTATCTTGGCTCAAATATTTTTAAACAGAACGTAGACGAATCGTCCGCTTCGGACCTTGCTAATCTAAGCCTGTGAATGTAACTAGTGGGGTTATATAAGGAAGTGTGATTGGTTCATTACTCTTTCTCCTTTTTATCAATAATGTGTGTTCTCTCTTTCAATATAGTAAACCTTTTTTTTCTTGCCGATGACCTAAAAGTGGTTTATTCATTCTCTTCTCCCACCGAATAAAGATATATTTCAGCGGTAAACCAAGAAGAAATAAGCAAGTTGTACGAATAGACTGTTTCGTGGAATTTCCCACTTAATGTTGACAAAATTGAATTTATTCACATTGATTATTATTATTATTATTATTATTATAATACAGAAAATGTATCTTACCCTTTTTGAATATGATATTGTAGTTTCCAGTAGTTGCAGGCATAATGAACTGATTAAGATTGAAGGTGTTCAAAGAAGGTTCACCAAAGCTGTTTTGGGGTATTCTGACAACAAAGACTATCACCAAAGATGTTAACAACTCAAAGTAGAACCTCTCTAGATCAGTCGTATCAAATAAAACCTTGTCTTTATCTATCGACTTATTCACGGTATTTCTTACTCTTTGGCATCCACCCCTTTGTATCCTATGATATCATCCCATAATCTATACAATAAAAAGTATTCTAGCGATTCCGAGGACCTACACAATCTTGAGCCAGAAGTTTTTTGATATTCACTACTCAACCATATGGAACAGACTACCAGTGAACCCCTGTTGAAGTGAAATTACGATCCGGTTCCAAAGTCTCCTTGATGATTTTCTTTGCGAAAGTGGATTGTGTCACCTAATGAATATCAATGTCTTTAACAATGATTTATACAAACAAGGTCCATTGAAATTTTTATTATTTTATTTTCTTTCTAATCATCTTAATGTCTGAAGTTCACTTATTTTCATATTTATGATAATAAGCATTATTATGATTGGTCCCTCGACACCGTAGACACTCTTTTTGTCCCTTTTTTTCTCCTAAACATCCAAAGTATGTAACTAAAAATAAATTAACTAATGTTGCTATTATAGCAACTAACTTCTCAGATTCATTTTATGTTCACCAGATATATATATATATATATATATATATATATATATATATATATATATAACACAGAAATTTATATTTGATTATTCTTTGCAATGAATCATGACATTTATAGCATCGTTCTAAATTATTATTTCACAAGAGTTTACACTAATATCAAGTTTTACTCGGTATCCTATCATATAGATCTACGTGTATTTACCCAAGTGGAATGAAAAAATTTTTTTTAAAGAAATGGTTTAGTTCAAAGGTTGATATTATAGCGCTTGAAACGTTTCACTAGGTTTTCTTTTTCTTTAAAAAATGGTTCTTCCCTCTTTTCCTTCCAAATATTATTCTTAAGTATCCAAAGTTTGTAATTAAGACAATATCTTATGATAAACTCAAATTAACTACTCAGACCCGTTTTATCTTCAATATATATTGTTTATCCTTTGAACCTAATTGAGGCTTTCATAGTATCACTCCAAACCATCACTGCGTAGACACTTATTCTACCGTCATATTTTACTGCAGTAATAAGTTATTTTCGTATTCATTTTTTTACAATCTTTTTTCTGTCTTTTCTTTCAGTTATTCATTTGGCGATACATACATAGTCGCTTATTCTTTTTCTGAATTCAAAAAGACGCTTATTAAACTATTTACGTATTTCGAGTTTGCTTCATTTTTCTTCCCTTATTTTCTTCCTTTCCGTCTTCAAGATCAACTCAATATTCTTCGCAATTACACAGAACCTGATTTATTAATATTTTATAATGATAATTTCTCTTTCCTTTCTTTTTCTATTTTTAAATATGGGAAATGTTATGCTAACATTATTAAAACTTGTGTATTATTGTATTTCTGAAGAAACCCGGAGTGGTTTCTTCACAACACTTACGTACCTATAAGATGTTTGCGAATAATAATTGCTGAAATTCAAAAACAAAGGAACAGATGGGTAGAACACTTGGAGGAACTCTTGAATAGACCAGCTCCACTGAACCCACACAACATCAAAGCACCACACAAATACCCTCATATAGATGTCACTCCACTAACGATCGAAGAAATCAGGATGACTGGTCATCAGACAAATCAAGAGTGGGAAACAGCAGTTGGACGGGACAATATACTAGACGAAGTTCTGGAGTCACACATACAAGTAACTGCAAACATGCTCCACACTCTATTCGGGAAGATTTGGGAGGAAAAACAAGTGCCACTGACAGAATGGAGAGAGGCACACCTCACCAAGATATCAAACAAAGGAGATCTCAGCAAATGTGAGGATTAAACACGCATCACACTACTATCGGTACCAGGAAATCTCTTCAAAATTGTTGCTGAACCAGATGAAAGATTCAGTAAACACCCAAACTCGAGATCAACAGATCAAATTCCGTAATGATTAGTCGTGCACAAACGAAATCATAATACTACGGATCATTGTTGAAAAATCAATTCAATGGAATTCGTCACTATATATCAACTTCCTTGAATATGAGAATGCGTTTGACAGTGTGGACAGGAGAACATTATGGAAACGTCTTCGACACTATGGAGTGAGTAGCTAAGAAGATCGTCAATATCAAACGGAATTCATACAGCGGACTACACTGAAGGGTCATGTATGGAGGGAAGCTGACGGACGCATTTCAAGTGAGGACTGGAGTCAGACAAGGCTGCTTACTCTCTCCCTTTCTTCTTGTGGTTGACTAGATTATGAAAACCTCCACACCTCAAAAGAAGAACGGAATATAATGGACAGCTTGCAAACAAGTAGATTTGGACTTTGTGGATGACATGGAGCTTCTATCCCATACACGCCAACGAACGCAGGTCAAGAGAACCAGTGTAGCAGAAGTCTGTGCATCAGTAGGCCTCAATATACACAAGGAAAAAAAGAAAGATTCTCAAGTACAACACGGAGAACACGAATCCAATCACACCTGATCGATAAACTCTGGAACAGGTGGAATCTTTCACGTATCTCGACAGCATCATTGATGAACAACGAGGGTCTGGTGCACATATGAAGTCAAGGATTAGCGAAGCAAGGGCTGCATTCATGCAGTCGAAGAACACATGGAACTCGATACAACTGTCTACCAATATCGAAGTCAGGATCTTCAATATGAACTTCAAGACAGTTAGTACTAATGTATGGAGTTGAAACTTCGAGAAATACCATAACCATCATCAAAATAGTACAAATATTTATAGAAAAACTGTCTACATAAGGTTCTCAATGTCTGATGAACAGATACTATCAGCAACAGCCTACTCTGGGATAGAAGAAACCAACATTCAACCGAAGAGGAAAAGGTGTTGGAGATGGATAGAACATACATTGCGGAAATAATCAAACTGCATCATGAGGCAAGCGTTAGTTTTGAATCTCGAAGAGAAACAGAAAAGAAGAAGGACAGAGAACACATTGCGTCGGGCATCGGAAGAGGACATGAAAAGAGAGAATCGCGACTGGAAAGAATTTCCCAGAACAGAGTTGGATGGAGAATGATAGTGGGCAGCCTATGCTTACTCCATAACATGAGGCAACAGGCGTTAGTAAATACTTTATAATCGAGTTTCTTTTTATACTAAGAGTATATCACCCTAGATTTTAAACTGTAAAAGGTTATAATACTTAAGATTCTACTTTCTTTTCTTGGATTCTTAATTTGCATCTTATGTGATTAATTCGTATTTATAACTCAGTCATAATTATTCTAAATGTAACTCTTTCGGTTAGTTGATCAACTCTAAGAATCTGTCATTTTATTTCCAATCACCAACTGTTATCACATAGCAAATAAAGTTTTTAATAGATTGGGAGAGTACAACACAACTAAGTAGAAACAATATTATGTGACTAACTTACAGTACGAATCACTATTTCTGGATCAAATCGTTCTTTTTTAATGTTTAAACTTCATTAGAAATATTTCTACGATTTGTTGCCTTCAGTTTATTTATTTCGATTTTAGATCGGAGTGGGTTTTGTGGAGAATTTAGTATTTTCATAGTTGAAATCATGGGTCAATTGAAGCTAGACCACCATCGAAAACCTGGAAGCACTGAACGGCTGTTTCGTCCTATCATGGGACTCCTCAGCAGTGCGCATCCACGATCCCGTACTCGCAAGATTCGAACCCAGGACCTACGAGTCTCGAGCCGGAGCCCTTAACCGATAGACCACTGAGCCGGCATTCAACAGTGTTAATGTTTAACTTCAACTTTGAGCGACCGTTCACCAATTGTCTTCAGTGAGTTGATATCTCTACAACAGACTTGATAGAACTCCACTGGCCACTGCTTTCCACTAGAACTCAAGGAAATATCTCTTGAAGTTAGTTACTAGTGAGCATATGATTATAGATCGGAGTGGGTTTTGTGGAGAATTTAATATTTTCATAGTTGAAATCATGAGTCAATTGAAGCTAGACTACGATTTTAACAATGGTATAATTAGTTATTCAGTTCTATTCCTTTAGATCACTAATTATATTCAACTCATAACAGATATCAATATACATATTTTCATAAATAACAATAAAATGAGAAAAAGAATGCTTAGATTAATAAAAAACACCCCGGTAACATGTATATATATAAATGTAATTAAACAAAGCAGTGTATTATAGGAAATATATATTTAAGTAATAAAAAGAAAAGAAAAAAAAGGCATTTTAGGAAGATAATTTAATTGCACCCATTTGAATAAATAAAACTTTGATATAATAAGCATAAAAAGATTTAAGCTAATTTAAATGGAATAGCATAATATAATAAGAAAACAGAAAATAAGAGAAATCAAAAAAACAAAACAAACAGAAAAAACGATTCGAAAACAAAAATAGTGAAATAAGACCATGATGGGTAATGTTACTAAGTAGTGTGTTTATGCAAAACACAATATTAATATTAGTATATATATGAATAGATATTACGTAATAGAATAAATAAATAAACATCAGAAAATATAAATAAATAAAACATAAAATGACAAATCAAAATTCACTGGAGGTTAATATTAGTCAATAAATTTAATAAATTAATGATTAAAAATGAACCCTATTAAAGAATATATGAAATTGATGAAAAGTTTCATGATGGGAAGATGATAACTAACAATAGATTCAAGTATAAAGAAAATAAGTACTTTTAAACTGCTAACGGACTTGATAAAGATGAATTGGTACCAGTGTTATTGTTGTTGTGGTTATTGTCATTGCAACATCGATTCGTATATTCATGTAGGCCGTTAGTTGATTTAACAATAGGTATAGAATGTTTTGAAATAGTTCCTAATGAACATTTTATTTTTCTTAATTCGATCTCGTCATCATTATCGTCCTCATCATTGTCAGCATTCTTTTTATCATTTAAACAATCATAATTATCTTTGATGATAGTTTTTTGAAATGGATGAGAATCGGTTTGCATAATTCGTCGACGAATTTCACGTATTTTCAACTGTAAAGCTTGACGACTAGGAAAGTAGCAAGCATAACATTGTTGGAAATGAGTAATCACTGGAACTGAATGTAAAATTTAAATAAAAACAAGAATAAATGAGAAGTTAACTTAGAAAACAATAACACACGAGCACACATGAAGAAATATATATTTCCTAACGCTCGAGATTTAATGTTGAGGATCATTTAAACAAGAATAAGTGTTAAATATTTTTGATATAGTACTATCGAATTTCATGTGATGCCTATAGAATGTAAAAAAATTATGTTAATGAAGAATATATATGAAAACTTTACCTGGTAGACTCAATAACCAGCTGTTTACAAACGGTTTGTAGCTGACATCAATTTGTGATGAAATTCAACTTCAATTCAGAAACCGCAGTCGTTAAAACTGACCATTGTTTACGAAAAAAATCATTATAGTGCTAATGGCCGTACAAAAAACGTATAAGCACTTTTACAATGATATGAAAACAATCATTTTTATTAAATTATCGTTTGTTTTCGTCTTAAGAATTTACCATGTATAATAAATATATATGAGTGAAAACCAGCTCTGGGATCCAGGGACATTCAGCTGATGAGTCCCAAATAGGACGAAACGAGCGTTCTGGATTTCACCGCTAGCCACCATCCATCCCTGCTTATAACTGTATATGGTTATAATTACATATATACTATACATGTTTCATAAGTATAAATCACGTACTTGATGGAAACAAACCATATTCTTGAAATAATTGTAAAACTAATTTACGACGTATATGTAAAACAGATCTTGACTTATTTCCATTAGCTTCAGACAAATGAGAAAGAGTTATCAATGGTGAATTTTCATTTGTTTGACGATGAATAATTTTTGGAGCAATTGGATGATTTTTAGATAAACGACCATATGAAGTTGAATTTGATGAAGAAATGCGTAAAGGTGAATTCAACGAATCGGTAGTCCATTTAACTTCTTTGATATTTGGAAAGTTTGCACCAAAAAATACATTATCTTCTAAAGATTGATTTGATTTATCCATATTCTGTTAATTTAGTTTAAATAAAACAAAAAAAGTGAAAATTTTAAAAAGATAGATAGTTGAATTTAATATGATATAATTTTTAGAATTGATAAATGTTATTGTTGTGATGGATAGAAAATGCTGGTGAGCGGCCTATGGTCCTCCATGGGGGGGAGGTAACATGTGTAAGTAAGTAATTAAGTATTATTGTGAATAGGGAGATAATCGTTTACAACATTTCAAGTGAGAGAAAAAAAGAATTCAAAGTTGATATCAGTCAATCATGAAGAATTTTCTTGAAGTAAATTTGTAGGGTAGGAAATACACCATTTAGTTTACCTACGATTGAAAAGGTATGATATCTATCATTTCAAAATACGCACTGTGTCGTAGTTACGTCACCTTCCTGGCGAATTCACATTTTGTTTATACGGTAATTTAATAAACAAAACATTATGCCTACAACACTAATAGACAATACCGTGCATTTCCGAAAACAATGCTAAATTGTAAAATGAAGCCATCGCTGATAATGCATTTTGTTGATGTCACTAACATCTTTGTGACGAAAGCATTCTGTAGTCCTCATTTTCAGAACTACATATATTAATTTTACTATACTATACGACAGTATATATATATATATATATATATATATATATATATATATATAATTCATCTTACATGGTAGTAATAATAATAAACGGAATAATACCACGATCATGCGATAAGACGAAGGTTATCAGAATTACGTGATATATTCGTGCAATATATTTCGAACAATCTGATCCCATATATACTTGTTATGACATCATGTGTGAAAAATAAAAGGTCAATTAGACGAAGACAACGTGAAAACTACTCTGGATAATAGATCAGTATTAGCAGAGTAGGTTAAGAATAAGAATAAATTGTTTTTGAACACATAAAAAAGGTTTCAGTTTTCGTATAGCTAAGGCTTCAACAAATCTCTGTACACGTGTACATATTACCGCACATAAATCGATAGGTACAATGGGATGTGACACAATCGTTTACATGCTGTTTAGGCTTTTCCTTAAACATAGACCTTGACGTTCCGGTAATGATGAGTTCAGCTGCACAAAATTTCCAACTGTTAGATAATTTAAGTCTTCGTTTCCACATGAGACTTTGAGTTACCTTTGAGTGATAGGTTAATATAGACTAGTTTTTCAGGTAACAAACAATTAGTAGGTCCATTCATATTGCTACCTTTCCAGGGATTAATAAACCTCAATGAATAACCATTATTCATCAATGTTACAGACATTAGCTTTGGGTTTCCCACAATAGTATCACTAGTACAAATACGATTGCTCCTAATGAATAAGCCCTTTATTGATCCTCGTTTGTACTGGATTGGACAGTGGCTATGGAAACTAAGATACTGCACTGTCTATGTCGGCTTTAATATTATGCAGCATGATTTTCACATTGTTTTCTTGATTACCTTTGTTACCCCTTACCTCTTAATTTGTCTACATGACCTTTTGTTTTTTTACATAATGTCTTAACCGATATATGTGTGATTATATTGTTCCAAATATATTGCGCAGATATACCACATAATTCTGATAGCCCTAGTCTTCTGATCGTATTGCCCAAACTTATCAAAGGGACTAGTTGTTTTAAATGTCAAGATCCTTAAAATAGTTATTACAATTTTTTTAAGAATAAAAAATGATCATTATACAACATATAAAATATTTAAAAATAGGATAAAAACAATTGAGTAACCAAAATCTACTTACAAGTTTTTTGGGTGACAAATTTTGATGAATATTTTCTGAATCACTAAGATGAGAACTTGGAGAAGTAAGCGTACATAATTGTTGACTAGTGTCTATACTAAGTGTTGGAGTAACTGAACCAGCTAAGATAAATAAATGTAGAAAAAAGATTGAAAAACAGAATAATATGGACAATTAAATAAACTAATTGCAAGGAAATTATAGTTTAGTGTTAAATGGTTAAAAGAGATCGGGTAGCAAGTTCTAAACATATATACAACTGATAAGGAGCAGATTCTGACCAACCATATAGCATTACATACCATGTACGTGATGTAGATTCGCGTAACACAGTGACTACATTGGAACTTGATCTTTAGAATACGATCAGAGTTCAAGACTCCGTAAAAATAACACTAGTCACTAGTCAGTAATCAAGCAACGTCGAATTGTACTTTATATATAGTATATAATCAAAGAAAGAGAAGTTAATTACTGATTTGTAGATTTTATTTAAAAAAAACTAGCATTGATTTTACAGATAAGCGGTTGAGCAAACGAGACTAAATAGAGTAGAATGTCTTACATGGTAAAGTCGCTTAACTTGCCAAGCTTTGTTTCTGTATAAAAATAGTAAACTTTCATTAAAATAAAGTACTTGTAAAAGCAAGAAGAAATATATAAGTGTAGAGTTACAAGACGATCAGAATCTAGAGATATCATTCAGTGAATGTATCTTAACAACTGTAACGCATTTACAATTATTTAGGGTCATCAAATATTGCTTTCTTACATTTTAGGAACTAAAACCAGGAAAAATGTTCTTACGTAAAGTAATTGGATAGAAGAAAAACAGTCAGTCACTCCTTACACTAGTGCCATACCCCATTTCAGATTTTCTTGGTTTGCTCAACATATAACTAAGCCATCATAAATGCAGCAGATTTACAGCTATATTTACAATTACATACAGAAATCGGCTTCTAACCATGACATTATTTTACATAGCAGGCATAAAACCTGACACACTTGAGGATGTGCAACATGTGGTTAATAAGCTAGTGACAGGCCTTCCCAATCTATCTAAGGAGAAAGTATTAGAACATTTCAATCTTTCCCCCTTATTTTATGGTAGAACGCTACTTGATATTAACATTTTATACCTTAAGTAATGATTTATATGTTGACAGGTTTTTTTCCTTCTTTCTCCCTCTAGGACTGTTCACCTTTGAGACAGTCACAAAAATTAATTTAAAAACCAAGATCGAAAAATATATAAGAACTTTCGTCTAAATTAGAACGAATAGTTTTACAGTATTTGGGAGCCGAGTTGATGTAAGACATTAAATAGGAATAATATATTAGTAAAATCTCAGTGAATGAATTTGAAGTAAATCCAACGTTTTGCCTGGCAATCTGGTTCAAACTTCTTCAAGGAAATATATACAAATATATTATTCCTATTTAATGCCAAGATCGAAGAAATTCAGGGTGAGATCTTATTTTAATCTTTGAATAATCAAATTAGTTCATTTCGAATTATAATTCATCAATGTTCCATTATTTTATCATGTAAACACTAGATCCCATTCCAAATGATCTTTTTGTAACGATTACTAAGTTGATTGTACATGATACTTCTATAGATAATATTTTTTAACTTTACTAGATAGACATGTCATTATGAATAGATACTAATTAATTTTAGTTCTATCAATATATATTAATCTTCATATTGAGAATGTTTATCATGGGAAATAATACAGAATGATGAAGTAAACAATCGAATGAGTAATTTCAATTGTTGTTACTGTTCATATAGAGTTGATAAACAGAAATAAATATGAGATTATTATAGTTTAATTAAATGTTGAGTGTAGTAGATAGCTACCCAATATTGAAATTTTTTTCTCTTTTTTTTAAAAGAAAAAATTGATTGAATCAATTATGAAAACCGTTTGTTAGACAAATCTTTATAATATAATGATTAAATCTTTGCATGCAATCAATCATATCAGTGTTTATTTGTTTGTTTTTTTAATTTTAAAACAGAAAAAAATATGGACTCGTAAAAACACAATTTTATTGATTTAAGTAATTAAATTTTAATAATCAAAAGATCAAAAACGTTTAAAGGATAGGATAGTTATCAGTAGCCTATACAAAATGAATGTGACAATTATTATGATCGATTACATGAAACTGTATACACGAATTGTAGGAATACATGGTTTTCTGAATTACAAGAAAACTTCCATTATTATTATTATTATTATTCGACTGAAACTTGTTTTTATTAACTTACTCTGAGTAGTTTCTGAGTAAAAACAAGGCCCTGCAGAACGTATAGTTAATTGATCGATAGATGTTGGTGATGACAAGCCTTGTGTAGCTGAGACGGTATTAGGGTTGAATTTCGGTAGATAAGAAAATCGACGCCGAAAGTTTATTTGAGCTAAAATACTAATAATAATTGGAAGAAAAACGATGGTTTGTGGACAACTAATAGTAGAATTTTGTCAATCGAAACAATAGTTGATATCATAATGACAAAATAACGTAAAAAAGGTAAGTTTGATATAAGAATGGTAACATGTAATCACATTCATTTAATTGTAGGCGAGTGTATTTCATTTAACTCTGTTTTAAAATAAAAATGTATTAATTACGATTGATCAGCTAATATGTCTCAAAACTGAACTTAGTGACAGTCAGTTATAAACGGCGATATGACCTGACACCAATATGTATCAATCTAGTTAGCACAATTTACATAAGGATAGTATGTGAGGAAATTAACAAAGTGAAAATCAAAGGAATAGATATAATAAACTAATTTGGAGTGGAAAGATAAACTAATTAAATGTGGCTCTAAAAGAACAAACAAGATCGAATAAGATCAAACTCAGGATTTATGCAATTACCTTACTGAAACTGATTTTGATCTATCAGTTAATATCTCCAATTACTTGTAGTTATCAATGACCAGGGATACTAAAGAGGGAAGTTTGCGTCTTTCGTCTAGTCCAGTTCAGCAGTTGGTGACTGCAAGTCTTCATTTAGTTACTTCTTACTTTTTTATGACCTACACATATGCTAGTCAGAATTTGACTTGAAAGGAGATGCTAATAATATTTCACAGCTTTGAAACAATATACAGAGAGCTACTGAACACTTAACTGATTCTTTGGATTGGGAATGAACATTTTATTTGTGCCAATAGTGGCTTACGTTAGAAAATCTAGACCAGCTTTTCATATTTGTGCTGAGATTTTTTAACCAAAAACCAACCAGGGAAAGTTGACGGATACTTGAAACTAGGTGAAATGTCAAAACTTCCGATTACTTCCTCTCCATAGTCAATGAGATTGATATCATCAGTCTTGAAGTTCTTAGAGGTATGAAGGCAGAAGTCAATCCCCGGTTGTGAAAGGATATCTCGAGAAGGACCTGAAAAACGAATTAGGTCATCAATTGTATTGACTACTTGGAAGCGTCACTGCAGGACCCGAGAGATAATTGGTTGAAACCAAACATATAAAGTGTTTCTGTGAGTAGTTTTTAATGTGTTACGCTTTACTGTGGGCACTGAAAACCCCTGTGGCAAAGAGATGTTTGCCATTTTTAGAGCTAACCCACTCCCTTTCTTATGCGAAGCTTGATTGAGGATTCTGGTTGTTTGAGGGAAACATCTTGCAGTGAACACACCCCAGTGAAGTTAAAAATAAGACTTCGCCCTCGGATTACAATTCGGTTACTTTTAGTTTAACCTCTCCCCAGCCTATCTGGTTAAGACCTGAAAGAACTAATGTTCAAGACTTAGATATATATTTTTCTTTATCTTCTAAATATAAAGCATAACATTATTATTTCATTTATTTCACTTGTACTATATTTTCTATGTTTGGAATGGATGTTATTGCTTCCAGTTCTATTCATTTCATTTCATTACAATTAACCTCCTATTGTATTTATTTTCAATGATGTCAAATTGAGAAAGTATAGACATTTATCCAAGATCATATTCTTTAAATGACCGACTAACATTAGATGTATTGGTTACATTACATTTTGGTAAAAATTGAATTTGTTTAGTGGAATTTTTATAAATTAATCATTTTGTCATTTCTAGATAAAATAACTATAATTATTGATATTTAATTTCATTGAGCTTGTATTATGTAATAAGACTAAGTGATCTGGTATGGGTTTTACCGTATCATAATTAGATAAACATACACTTAGTTTATATCCAGTTTATAATCAGTAAACGATGTTTGATAAATCATTTGAATTCAAATATTATGAAAATTTATGTCTGAAAAGCAAACAAACAGCTTTGATCAATCTAACAAGACAAAGTATTTTATCTCTTTATTTATTTCTAGCCAATTAATCGATATTATATATATACATTTCATTGGTTCTCTTGTTCTTGTAAAGGAGATTATAATGGTCACACAAAGTATGCACTTTCCAGACGTACGTTCGAGGATAAACCTGTATGAGTATTTAAAAAGAGATCCAATTCAATCGCACCGACAATGGCATCATTTTGTATTATGTATACAGTCAGAGAACTAATTCGAAAGGGATTTGGATTTGTGCGCGACTTAGGGTTTCATAGTTTACCATTTAAAGTTTGATCTATATTCAAAAGAGATTGTTCGATAACTTATTTGAAAAGTTGTTATTACCAACTATTTGTTTCATTTTAATCTTCTTCATGTCCACCAAAAGTTTAACTGCCTAGAGCACTTATTTTATAAAATGTTATTTAATATTACATTGAAGACAATTACATATTCAATATTTTAAAAAGTTTAATTATTTTTTGGTATCTTCGATGAATTATACAACAATCGTCTCCCTTTATTGAAGGCTTTAATATGTAAAAACTAGTAATAAGTACCATTGTAGAGCATCAAAAAATGAGATCATTGAAAGGAACAGTCTATTCGCTGAACCGTCTTCATACACATACAATACTTATTATTAAAAAAGACTTTATCACAACTCACTTCTCTGTAGTCTCATCAAATTTCCGTTTAAAACATCGATTAGCTGCATCAGCTGAAAATGGAGCACGAGGTGTACTTTTTTCAATTGATTTATTGGATTGTTCAATATCTTTGTTTATGATACTGTAATTAAACACATCACTTTGTAATTTCAATGAAGGAGGTTTTGATTTAGAAGAAACAGTTTGTTGATGATGAGAATTTTCATTGGTAGATGATTGAAATTTATTGTCACAATTATAAATTACACAATTCTCTTCTTTAAATGAAACAAGTTGATCGTATGAGTTGTTTATCGGCTGCTTTCAAACATGAAAAAGGATAAAATTACTACTAATACAAATCATATCTCGTTAAAATCAAACAGCGATATCTTGGAAACAGAGTAAGAAATCGAAGTCTGAAATACCGACTAGAAACATCACGAATAATCTGATCAAGTAATTACTAATCTAGGTATTGTTTGAGACAAATGCAGAAGTATCAGTAAGCTCAATCAAAATGATAAGTATCGATCATTCCATTGTAGATCTGGGTTAAGGTGGCCACTGTGATTTAATTGATGGCATTCTGTCTAACAGATAATACTTTAGCATAATCTCACAGTTCGTTAAGTCTGTTAGTGTCTACTTATATACATACAGATATCTCGAAAATATTGATACTCACTACAAATAAGTATTTCTTGTAACACTTGTTAATAATCCGTAGAATTTGTTTGGATGCTATAATTATCTTCTGAAATTTCTTCAAAATCAGTAGCAACTGAATAAAACGAGATTGACCTCTCATAAACTATAGGATTCCATAATCTTTGAAACGAAATTAAAATGAATCTTGTCTTTCATTTATTTATTATTTATTTAAACACATAAATATTGGTACAAGGAAGCACCAGATAAATAAGCGCCGCACAAATCTCATTTGATTTGTGTGATAGCTGTGATACTGCTCAGGTGCCCGAACTGAAGCAGGTGGTTTTCTTAGGGGGCCACACCCAGAGCCTTTGACCCAAAGGTCTAGTCCACAAGGCAGTGGAGCATCTTAAGGACATGCAGTCCCATGGTAGTCGGTGACCATTTGTTCCCATTTGTTCCTTCAGGATACTGGAGTCCATGTGCACCATTGGTTTGGAATCAGGGTTTCCAAACTCCCCTAGATGAACTCGCCATGCCCACCAACCCGGTTAAAGCGCCGGATATTCGCTTTTCGTCCTCTCAATTTCGTAAACAACACCCTCGCCACGAGAAGGCAGTGAGTAGGACTTCCCTGGCAGAGGCTATATATTCGCGTGGCCGTGTGAGAGCATTTCAAGAGGGAGAGCGGACTCTCCCCACTCTCGGCCGTACCAGGGCATTTGGGGGCTGTCTTTCATTTAACACTACGGTTGCCATTATCTTACTAAAGTTACAAAAAAGAAACTATCAACATGCAGAGTTATAATAAACAAGCTTGAAATATATTACTTATCAAATTATTCTATGACAATAAGTCAGTCAATTTGCAAATAATTTTAACAGTTGTAAATAAAAATTAACGACGTAGAATAATTAACAATAAATATTGATCAAACTTACAACTGTAGAATTCTCTTGGTTAGATATATGAGTATCAATATTATTTTCTAAAGAAATTTCATTGATTTGGTTATATTTTAAAGTTTCACAAGTATTTTCTATAGATTGTTGATTGATTTCAAGTAAAGAGGAGTTCTTCAATTCTAAAATAGAATAAAAAGTAATAGAGATTAGATATAATTGCAACCATAGATAATTACACGTTATAATCCAAGTCAGCACATATTGAAAGCAAAAGTTAGGGAATAAGTAAGGTGATACACTGCTCCAGTAGACTTTAGAACTCTTTTCTAATAGTTGTAATCTGTTTAGTTCTGTACTTAAGAGCGAAACCATAAGTTATTTAGTGCGAAAATATCGATTATAGTTAAAAAACAACTCAGTGACGTCTTCTCTTTCATAATCCAATTGTAAAATGTGGTTAATGCAAACAGACAATAAAATATTACATGTTTTTGTCAGTCGATCAAATCGAACCGTCAATAGAGCAGTAAAGCCTAGTGAAAGATCAGGGATCAAGCCAGCTAAATCGTTTCAGACAAACAAAACAACGATAAAGATGTGCTGATCGAGATGCTACACTTATTCGTGTATAATATTAACTGTTGTTCTTAATTAGAGAGAAGGGATAACAGAGCGTTGTATGAGAACTGACCACGGAATTATAAAGTAACAACTGATCCATCCTAGAAAAAAGCACGGGAACGATCGATTATTACAAACTTGAAATGATAGATGAAACAAACGATTTTTTAAGAATCTAACTGAAAATATTCGAAATTTTATGATTCCCCCACCCACTTTTGATCTCTTCTTTCATTCGTTATTCTTGATAAGCATCAACGAAAGATACAAATTAAATGCAGTTTTAAATCAAGAAAATCTAGAAACATCTGACAGCTCTATATCACTGGATACTAACACTGTACAAACGAAGTGAACAGTACAAGTAAATTATATTTCATAGAATGAAGAAAAATATAAATATATACATAACACACCTGTAGATGAACAGTTGGACGATAAAGACGATGACGATAATGATGTCGACAACAACGTTGGTTTAATATTAATTGATAGTGGACACAGGAGAGGATTTTCTGCCACCTCAATTAGTAAGGTATTGGGATGAACCGCAACTTGTGGTAGTGTAAATACAGAATGAGATAGATCTGTAATTGAATTGAATTTGTTGCTATCGCTTAATGATTGGTTTTGTAGACGATTATTAGAGTTTTCAAAAGTACCAGAACTGAGAACGTAATGTTTGTTTGTTTATCAAAGAAAAGACAATAATATAACAAAAAATTAATCTCTTTCGATTTTTAAATGAATTTGTTTTCTTCAGTGTTGAATAAAAATTAAATACAAAACATCCTGATTAACGACTATCATAAATGAAGGAAAGCATCTCTATAGTATATGTCAACTAGACGGAATAACTCAAATATGGAACAAATATAGGAAAGGGAGTAAATCATTTCAAGAACTTTAATTTAATATTCAACATTAAGTTATTTATACGAAAATCAATGGTTTATGCCTATACAATGATATAGGTTGTAATTTATCATCTTGTCTACCTATTTATTTTAGATACTTATTTGCAGTCTGTAATGAGGTTGGTGAAATACAATAAACTGATTCTATTCTGCTAAATGATTTTTGAGATTTATATTAGCATTTGTGAAAACAACAAATAGTAAGAAATTGCAGTGGTGTAGTTGTACAAGACATATTAGAGATGATGAATCTAAGTATCTGGCCTAATAGATAGAAGTTCTATATCTCATAAACAAATGCATAGATTCAATGAGTATGCTAAATAGGGATTATGTATAATGCGGCACAAAAATCAAATTTTCTGCCTAGACATTTTTAAAAAAAAGGTATACATATAGAAAGGCATTATATAAAAGGTATGCGAATATTCATATCAACAAAAAAACGGACAATGGAAATAAGATAATTTAACAAAATTTCTATAACTGATATTAAGATAGAGAATGAGTTTATCTTTGCTACTAAAACAGACTTTTAGCGATAAAACCTGAAGTTTTCAACCATTATTGATCCTGACTGAAATACAAACCTGAACTAGTCTCTAATTCTTTACAATGTCAGTAGACAACCAACTAATTTTCATGAACTGGTTTTATACATTAAACTAGTCATATTATTTATAGTTGTATGAGTTTAAAATTTGTTACTTGAAAGTATTACATACTCTCTAATTGATCGATTGTTTTATATCTTTAGGGAACAGCAGTTGAATGGGAAAAAAGGTTATTGATAGGATTTACTATTGACAAATTAAAATTTTTGTGTAAAAACAGCCGTCCAGTGCTGCTAGGTTTTCCATGGTGGTCTACCTTCAATTGACTTATGATCTCAACTATTGAAAAAAACGTTTTCCCAAAAATCACATGATATGTGAATCAGTAGATTAAAAGGAAGAGGGGTGAAATGAATAGACAAAGACATAGTAAACAAGTGAATGTAAACAAAGAGAAAAATAGTATTAAACTTAAAATATTGACTAACACTGAAATTAAAAATAATGTCAGTTGGAGACAGTGAAATTATTATATTTAGACAAAACAATCAGAATTTAAATGTAAATATCCAATCATTATGACAATATGGAAATCCCTAGATGGTAATAAGATTTATCAAATATTAACAACAAAATCGAATAATTGGTTGACAGGTAGATAAAGAGAAGGGAAGAAAATGAAATTGTCATTACAATAGCCCTAGAGAAAGTTAAAGTGACTACATGTATACTCTGTGATTGTTTATATTGACTTCATTAAGGATGAAAGAATACTTACTTGTTCGTAATATTAAGATTGATAAAAACGAATCAATAAATTCGCTTAAATGAAATTAAGAGTGGAATAGACTCAAACAACCAATACAGGCAAAGTAGATTATTGGAAATTCTATTGTAGACAAGATCCCCAACAACTTACATTTAACACAGTTGGATTCTGACCGGCTCAGTGGTCTAGAGGTTAAGCGTTCGGGCGAGACCAAAGATTTGGGTTCGAGTCACATGTGTGTGATCGTGGATGAGCACTGCTCTAGAGTCCCATATTAGGATGAAATAAAGATCCAGTACTTCCAGATTTTCAATGGAGGTCTGACATCGATCAGTTCATGATTTCATTGAAGCTTACATTTAAACTAACAGATTGGATATTTTACATGGCTTGGTCTATCCGTAAATTATTTTTGTTGATTTGGAGAATAATATAGTAGATAACTGTCGATCATAATTTTTTTTAGTTTTCATCAAGCCTACTGTATAATCCATTTAATATTGTTTGTTTGAATCTTCCCATCGATGTGTTAGGACTGCAACTGGTCAGTCTCTAATTGACATATGTGCATACTGTGCGTATTGCCTGATATAGCCTTAATTCACAAGCATGTATAATCACTTATCATGCATTATGAGGTCATTATCGTTTTTAAGCAGTACGTTTTCACATATTCATTCATAAGAAATGGATCAATTATTTAGTTGCAGAGGATGCACACATAAATATAATAATAATAACAATAATAATAATAATAAAATCTGGAGTTAATTCTAATGGTAAAAATGGTGATATTGTTACGTTGAATTCACTCTGATTTTTTCTTCAGGCACTATTATTGCACAATTATAAATATATCTTGAAAGTGGGTAATTCTACATTGGTTTTCAGGAGAACCAGGTACCTCTTCAGGTTTCTATACGACCTGAACAGCACAGCCCAATCTTGTAGCACAACTAAACAAGTACTAAAACTCTTGATGAACCACTACATTGTATAAACTAAATAATGGTACTATTTTGTTTCTTATTTTACAGAACATCAGTAAATCATATATAAATTGGGTTCACCATTAAAAAGAAAAGTTATAGTACTCATCATCTTATGTAATAAACATGATGGTAGCTTACTTTGATGGGTGTTCAGTAACTGATTGACTAATTGAATTACATGTAGAAGTATTTCCATTAGAATCTACTAAAAGATTTTTCATTGAATTATCCAGTGGGATTGATTCTTGATCAGGAGTTACTGTCGTATCTGTATGAGATCCAAAAGTTGATAAGGATGGATAATTTGTGTTTATTCAAACGAATACATAAATCCAATGGGAGTTGAACAAAGAAACATAAATTACCATATATATATATATATATATATATATATATATATATATATATATATATATATATATATATATATATATAATTAACTAATGAGTTATATAAAATTTACCAACGGATAAAAGCTAAAATTTAAATGATATTGATATCAATAACTCGCTTATTATAATGAGAATTTTCGACAAAATAGGGAAATAAAGCTTACCCACAGCTTACTAACTCTACTATTCTGGGATGTGAACTAACAATTTCATCTCTGTGCTGATAGGGTACGGAAACTTGAACCGATGTGCGTACTTACTAGGTTCTACGTTGTGGTTGATTGATTGACAGGTTATAGAAACACTACACTACCACAAAAAATATGGAATACCGAAGTTATTTTTGCATGGTTTCACATATATCATTTGTTTTCCCTTGGAATTTATGCTCTCAAAATTCACTGATCCTTCCTCTTTCTGGAACTTCAGTTAGTGCAAGGGGTAATGAATAATATAAATAGGTAACATGGCGTACTTAAATCATTTTTAGTTCGCGCAGTCCCATTGAATCAGACTACTTATAAGAGACCTTTCACTGAGATCTGGTCGATAAGCTCTCGTCCTACTTTTAAACTGAACATCATACGTACAACTGGTAAACCACAGGTAATAGTCGTCAAAGCTACAAATATCTGAGGAGTGAACAGTACGGATTTATCTTAGTAAATAGGTAAGGCCAACTGAATAAGCATTCTATGGTCGTGTATGAGAATTTAATAGACGCAGGATATGTAAATCCATAGGATTTCAAGGTTTCAACCAATGACACATGCATATTACTCAATATAAAGGTGTAAATGCTGTTACCTTTAGGAAGTAGTTTAAAACATTTCAAGAGATTTCATACGATCGAACTACTAACAGGAGCTACATCATCATGAGAGATTAAAAATCTCGTGAAAAATTTGATTATCAGAAAACGACTCTAAAAATGACGAGAAGAGAATTTGTAACGAGTAAGATGTAGTTATATATCTTTAGACGTGGTCGCAGAATTCAGAAGAAAATCCCACTGGAGATCGGCTATAAATGCATTGTTCTTAAATAACTGCTTTGAGTATAGGGGTTATCGCTTCTATAAGTTTCCATAATTTATCACTGGGATTAAAATTGCAAACGCCTAAACCCAGAATTACATAAACTAGTATTTGTCTTTCTATAAAATGTAGCTTATTAATGAACTATTTCATATTTGACTCTAAATAACTGTCTTTGTGCCACTTCCAGTTATTTTCAACAATAGTGTTTTAAAATATGGCAGCCTAAAACAATGTTACATTGTACATAATAACTCAATGAGATATTATCTCTGTTTTGAGTAATGTAATTGTTGATCTGAGGCTAGAGTTCATCATTGAGACGTGTTAGCAAATGATTAGAGACAATCAATATTATAATTGAAATTTTAGAGCAAAATCATACTGATTCCTATGACTGCATAACATTTATTAATATTCATGTAACCAGGGGGGATAGATATATTTCTCAAGAATTCAGTCATTATAAAACGGCCATTTAGCAAGACAAATTTATTACAAACCAGTAAAAATAATGGAATAAAAATGTTTTTCTATAATGAACCGATTACCACAGGTAAACCCGATGTTTAATTAAAAGAAAACAACTTTTCCAAAGGCTTCTATGAACCAGAAAGACTGTTTTAGTCGTATATATACATATATATGTTTGAGGAAGTAAACGTAAGTTGGTAAACTAGACAAAGTATTGTGGTGTGGTCTACTTATATCCATACAAGTAGTATATGGTGTTGGTCAGACATAGAATGTATTTTGGCAGAAGACCGACGAGGGAAGAACTGAAATGAAGCGCAACCGGTAGGAAAATGCACGAACAATGGAATTAGAGAAGAAACAGTGAAGACAGACTTGTTTGTTAATTTGCAAATTAACTGTCTATTTTATGGTTATCAGAATTTACTGAGATAGTCTGTAAGTTTTACTTAAATATTTGATTGTCCCCAACCAGTCGTGTTCTGTTCACTACAGTATCAGTGAATAAATCAGAAATAATCGGTTTATAACCTTTCACGTATTCCGGTTTGCGATGAGACGCGTCAGTGCATATTCAAATATGAGAAGTAATTTGTATATAAATGAATAAATAATTACTTTTAAAATTGTGCTCTGTTAATTCCTCACTAGAATTATTAACAGACTCAAAATTATCGCCACAGGATGTATTGGATTTGTTAACGTTGACTTGAACGTTTTTAGCATCAGTATCAAGATCCTCAATAAAAAGTGGTGGAGGTTGTATTAAATCATCATTAAATAGGTTATTTTCTTTATCCAAATATTGAACGGCATGTAATAATAAGTCTAAACCATTTAATCTATACTGATCAGAGGATTTTACTTCAATGGAACGATGATTATCATAACAGTTATGTTGACTGATGTTTTCAGCATTCAGATTCGATTGTGACAAAGCTGTGAATGTAATGAAAGAAAATTAATTCTTAACTTATAAAATCATATAAAACAGATGGAAATAAAGCTAGGTGGTTAGACACGCAAGGTGGCAAGAATAGAATTTGCATAAAGCTACCCAGTTTCAGAACTCCGCCAGTAGCACTAATAGGGCTACTGATGATCCCAGACAATCCCAGAGAACAGTCCTGTCCAAAGAATTGAAGGCAGCCCTGATGTCAAGAAACACTACGATTGTTGGCCTGTGACATTTTATTTATTTATTCACATATATATTGGTACAAAGGGCACCGGATACATATGCGCCACACAAAATAATGAGAATAGGAGGAGAAAGGGGGAAGATGTGTATATATAAAAGAAGGAAAAAAAAGAAGAGTAATGATGAGGATGGAAGTGAAATGTACAACCAGAAGAGCTCTCTCAGTTAAAAAAGTTATAGCCACTCTTTATGAAGAAAGTAAAAGAAAGTTACAGCAGGCTCGCCACTGGCTTCTATTCTGAGCCATATCTGATAACGTCTCTAGCCACTGTGTTGCACCATCTCTCGGACCCCAGCCAGGGAGTCGTGAAGGACCAACAGAAGCTAGCCCTTTGCAGCTCTCTTTCATGCCACGACACTATGTCATACACTGACCACCTCTCCGCTTTTTCCAACCAGTCCCAGAGTCGGCAAATAATGCACGACGTGGAAGTCTCTGGGACGACACTCTTAAAACATGTCCAAGCCAACGAAGTCGGTGTTTCATGATGGTGACACTGTGGTGTGGTCTACTTATATCTATATAAGTAGTATATGGTGTGGGTCAGACATAGAATGTATTTCGGCAGAAGACCGATGAGGAAAGAACTGAAATGAAGAGCAATCGCTTGGAAAATGCATGAGCAATCGAATAAGAGAAGAAACAGTGAAGATTAAAACAATTGGTTGTTAATTTGCAAATTGACTGTTCATTGTTTGGTTATCAGAATTTACTGAGATAGTCTGTAATCTTTGCTTAATACATTCGATTGTCCCCAACTAGTGTTTTGTTCACTACAACACCAATTGAATTATCGTCTCTGCGCCCGAACACACGATGCCGAACCTCTGCATTACTAACATGGTGTTGCCACTGGATGTCAGCAATCCCTCGGAGACAACGATGATGGAACACAGGGAGTCGTCTAACATCCTCAACTCGGAGAGGCCAGGTTTCACAAGCATAGAGCAAAACAACTCTCACCGACGCGTTGTAGATCCGACATTTTACAGCCAGACTAACATCACGAAGGCGCTAAAGATGGCCCAGATTGGCATAAGCCGCTCTGGCTTTCATTATACGTGCATCAATCTCATCACTCACGCCCCCACCAGCACTTATATAGCTACCTAGATACACGAACTTCTCAACTACTTCAATCTGCTCACCATCCAGGGTGAGAATCCTGCCAGTCTTCTAACATTTGGCAGAGGGTGGAGATATGATCAATATATCTTCGACCAGAACGAAAACCAGCCTCCTCGGGTTTTGAACTATGTACGAAGTATTACAGAAGCTAATAGTTTGGACGCGATTGGAAGTCGACTTATCTACCGATAGTTGTTAAAGGAAGGACGTGAACCCTTTTTAGAGATAGGGACAACTATAGATTCATTCCATGATGTTGGAACACTCTCTAGTTCCCAGACCTTTGTAAACAACTCAGTCAGTTCCTTAGCCAGAAATTCACCACCAACTTTAAAAAGAGCCGGAGGTAAGTCATTTACGCCCAGTGATTTGGAGCGCTTTAAGAGTCAGAGTTCCTTGCGGACTTCTACCTCATTTAGTGGGGCAGTCGTCACCGGCCATGGAGGGCAGGACAATCTGATCGATGTTGCCGAAGCAGCAGGCCAGTTGAAATGCCCTTCAAATAATTCTATTGCCTCAACATACACATGGAAAAAAGCAAGACCCTCGAATACAACACGGACAACACCAAACCAATCACATCTGATCGATAAACTCTGGAACACGTGGAATCTTTCACGTATCTTGACAGCATCATTGATGAACAACGAGGATCTGATGTACATATGAAGTCAAGGATTGGCGAGGCAAGGGCTGCATTCATACGGTTGAAGGACATATGGAACTCCATACAACTGTCAGCCAATATCAAAGTCAGGATCTTCAATATGAACGTCAAGATAGTCCTACTGTATGGAGCTGAAACTTCGGGAACTACCATAACCACCATTAAAGTAGTACAAGGATTTATAGAAAATTGTCTACATAAGATACTCAATGTCTGTTGACCAGATACCGTTAACAATAATCTACTGTTAAAGCAAACAAACCAGCTTCCAGATGAAAATGAAATTAGAATACTCTGGAAGTGGATAGGACAAATATTACGGAGGTAGAGCTGCATCACCCGGCAAGCGTTAGTTTTGAATCTCGAAGAGAAACAAAAAAGGGGGTCAGAGAACATATTGCATCGGGCATCGGAAGCAGACATGAAAAGAGTGAATAGCAACCGGAAAGAACTGCCCAGAACAGAGTTGGATGGAGAATGATGATGGGTGGCTTCCGCTAGGGGTAACAGAAGTAAGTGATTTGGTTTAAGAAGTAAAATTTATCCCAAAACAGTTCTGTTGTCTATCTGTGACGGAAATGATTTCTGTTTTCTAATAAATTGTTATTTATGAAGTGTCTTAATGCATTCATAGAAAATATTCTAAGAAAAAAAAACAAAGAAAAATTGACAGAATAATCTTTTTCAAAAACTTTGTCTTCATGATCTACTCTTATAAATTTATATAAATTTTGTATACCAATAAAATGGTTGTGAGACGTCAATTTTTTTTATATTTTTAATTGAAACTGGTTATCATCTACTCTTTGTTTTTTGCCTTTACACAGTTGCCCAATTTACTTAAGTAAATAGATATTGTACTATTATCTACAGATAAATGTATTGTTTTTTGAACAAGTTTGTTTGAAAAGTTTTGATTAGGTATGTGTGTGTTACGCAATTTCGAAAGGGTTGTTATTTTATGAGGATACTACCACTGGATTTATATAAATTTACAAAAACAAAATATCATGAAACACAACTTATTCTTTTTTGTAAACTTTACAATACCATCACAATGTACTTGTTCAGTGTACAAAATAGTATAAACATTCATGTAAATGTCAGGTGATATGTAAACTACATAAGTATTACATATATTTTTGAAATACCACTTCTTCAAAACAATATCAATTTGATCCCAAATACAGTATAGTCATTATAAATACTATAATAATCACCATTATTATTGTTACATTCGAGTATTTATGGTATCACCTTAGACCGACGAATGAAACAAAAATCAGCAATGCAACGACATGAAAAGCTAAACTGTTCCTTTGCGCCCTAGCCTTGTTAACCAGGGGAAGACCAGATTCAGCTGGAAAAATATATAACTTCACAAGTAGTCCGGAAGAACGAATAAAAAGCACTCGGTTCATGCGCAATATATACAGTACAAAAATGACCTTAAAAAGCATCACAAAAGAGAAAACAAAGCAATGACTTTTAAGGTCCTTCCAGGTGGGCAACACAAACTTAAGGTAAAAATGGGCACTTTTGGCGCGGAAATGGTAAATTCAAATTTTAAAAATCAAACTAGAAAAATGAGAAGTTTACCAAGTGATTTCTGAGGATCTAGCATCCCCAACAATCAGTTTAACATAGATTCGAACGTCATGAAGAGTAACGGTTTTTCAAGATTGAAGATATGCCTTGCTCATGATGAGCCTGAAACTTATTTCTAGGACATCCTACTAAGACTGCCTTCAACCATCAATTATCCGAAAATAGTGTAAAAAATGTTTAGTCATTTTGAGTAGTGGGAACATTGTAACTTGGTTGATAGGATTTGACTAAAACTACAGATTAAACAAAACTACATAACATCACATGAATTTTATGATAGATTATATAATGCATAAAATCTATTGAAAGGAACTAAATACTTACCTATAGTTGATTCATTATTTAATGATAACTCATTTAAAGCTGAATTTGTTAAAATGCCGTCAGATTCATTGATCTGATTACTGGTAAATGAACATGGATTTAGTTTATTTTCAACTGATAAAGATTCATTCACCAATAAATTACTAGAATCGGTCAGTGATGTACGCGTTTCTGGATGTGAATTACAATGAGTTGGGCATCGTTTCTTAATGTTTCCACCTTCTGACCTAAGTCTTTGTTTAGAAGACCATTTCCAATTTGGAAATGATTGAAAGTGCGCAGCTTTTAGCTAAATATGAAAGGGAGATTAAAAACAAAGAGTGGTATAATACAGAACACTTATATTAAAATCAGCAAGATTGTAAATCAAAGTTTACTCAGTCGGTTAGTAATCATTCGATAAGTGGGTTATAATTACCGTATGAACATTTCCTTTACAAAGTTATTACAGATTAAACTCAACTTCTTTATCTCAAGTTATTCAGTTTGTTTATCATTCTATTTTGGTGTATTCAATGATATTCACAGTTTAATCATGATCGCCGTAAGAATACGGTTAGAAATCCGCGCTTAACGTGAAACATTTAAATTTATTAAAGTGTTTATCGAAGTACATCAAAAATTGGAAATAACGATCTAAGTATTATGTAAATATCCATAGATATTAAGAACTGTAATTGACAAGTTTAGATTGACATATATGAATGCTAAGTTGATTGATTGGAAATTACCGTTTAATTACTGGGTTTAAGTCTGTATAAACGCCAACACTGAGATGTAGTTAAATCATATCGATGAATTTCAGATAAATTGAAATGCTGCTCCAAGTTTCTACTGCTAGTCAAAATCCGAACATATATTTTTCAAAGAGCTATAAATTTATGTGTTACCAATTTATTCAAATTAAAATAGGACATATTACATGTAAGGACAATTTATTCATTAGCCAAGACAGTTTTAGGAACTTCAAATATCATTTGAAAATTTCAAGTGAAATGCAAAATTTAGAATAATGAACTTCAGTGAAGAATTCCAATGTTGTTGAAAAACTTCTTTTTGGGAAAATCCAGCGAATATCAGAATAACAAATATCATTAATAATAGTAATAGTAATAATAGTATCAATAATAATAATAAGTAGTAGTATGGAAATAATTAAAACAACTTGAAAATTTACTTAAAACCTTAGTTAATTAAGCTGATAAGAAAATTGACTCCTTTGCTTATTAAACTGACTTGACGAAATAAAAATTATTTACATAACTTATATAATATTATGAAATTATCAAACAATTTAATGTCGTGTTGTAATTTAAGGACAATATAAATACAATACACAATAAGTGTTTAAGACGTAGTAAACTACGTGACAACTAATTATTAGTTGTGTTTATATGGTATTGTAGAATAATGGTCCATAATAATAATTCGGAGCTCTTGGTCACCGGCTACCATGGGACTGCATCTTCTCACGATGCTCCACTGCCTTGTGGATCAGATCTTCAGGTCAAAGGTTTCGGGTGTGGCCCCCTAGGGAAACCACCTGCTTCGGTTTGGGAACCTAAGCAGTATCACCGCCCTCACACAAATCAAACGAGATTTGTGTGGCGCATATGTATCTGGTGCCCCTTTGTACCAATATTTATGTGCTGAAATAAATAAATAAATAATGCTCTCCTGATTTGAAGTAGTAGCGTCTATTTGTGATCTTTACACGTTAAGAAGCTTGTTCTTTGTGGTTCTACTATGATAAAAAAAGTTAGCCGGAAAGCTACAAAACTGAAATCAAATGGTTTGTCTACGCTATTGGATGACAGTTGGGGTAGCAATTCCAGGTACGATGTAAAAGTTACGCTTCAATACATCATGTAGCTAGACTGCTTACAAAAATGTTGAGAAAGTTTACTAGATGTGGGAACATTTCTATAAAATCAGCAAACAATACAGATGTTTATTTAATTTTGAGGTCACACTTGTTGCTCTCTTTGGTATATCAGGGAGGTAAAATCTTTCACTATGTTGAGAGTTAAAAGAACTATCAATATCAATCCTTTACCTATTTTACAACATTGGCTTGGAACCAAAATATTGATGTTCCATTAAAACTAAAGGGAAAATATATGATAACTGTTACGAATTTATCCTGTGTCTATAGATCTGTCAATTTTTGTTTTAAGCAACTGAAAATAATAGATACGATAAATAGTTAACAGAATAAGTACATTATTCAGTTAGAATAATATTCATAACATTTAAGAGTGAAATTAATTCTTTTGGATATCTGTCCTCTCACAACAAAACAGAATCATCAAATAAAGATTATTATTTTTTAAAAATAAACAAAGATAACTCATCATATCATGTGCTTACTTCACGAGCCAATTGTTGATAAGGTGCTTTTTCTGATGCATTTAAATGATACCACCAATCACCTAAAATTTGACTTGCTACACGATTATCTTTATTTGGATAAAGACGATGTACTTCACTACGATGTCTCATAGAAAATATAATAAAAGCATTCATTGGACGACGTACATGTTTTCTATCTTGATTATTTTTATTTAATATTGCAGACAATTTTAATTTTTTATTTATTGAACATTCGTTGGACACTTGAATATTATCATTTTTAGAAGTGTTTAAATTAATTACAGAAGTAGTAACATTAGATTGATTATCATTATTATCAAAATCACCACCACCAACATCATCATCATCATGATCATTAACGTGGCCGCTACAATTTGGAGTCAACTTTGAAAAATCAAAGAAAATAATTATTAGTAAGAAGAATAAATGCTTAAAAATATTATTATGTTCAGATTTTTATTAAAACTACAAGAAATAAACTTTTCCTTTTATGATAAATCTATTGAAAGATTATCATAAGAGTATGATGAAATAATCTATATATACTACTACTACTACTACTACTACTACTACTTTGCTGTATTTCTTTAGAATATGATGTTTTAAGAAAAAAAGAAAATTGATTAAATGAAACAAAAACTTCATTCAATTAATTAGCAAATATGAAAAAAGAAAAACTGACTGAATTTCACTCTAAACGGATACATAGATAAAATATTAGCACTGTTATTTAATCGACGATTAGAGGCTTTTGAAAATAAACTGAATTCTAACAAAACATTTATTAGGTATAGTTGAGTAAAATAGAGCATTTTAATATGCACGTTCTGTTTTCTATAGGAAATAATAAATTCGATAAAAGTAGGAAAATTTCAAGCAAACTAGAAGGAATACATGAATAGACTGAACCAATGTATAAAGAGTGAAGATATTTATTTTATTGTGACTGACTTTTGCCTTATTCATCTTGCACTTATAGTTAGTACTTTTATATACCTGAGATTTAGATGGGAATTCTATATTTACCTGTACGGCTGAACTTATTAATCAGGAATTGTATTTACTAACACAATACCTTGGGACAACGAACCTAAAACATTTACCGCTATAATTTATCCATAAAAAACTATGTTAATAAACCTTTTTTGTTTAGAATCTGAATATAACATCCTGACTCCTCGAGAAACAGTTCCATTAAACATATCTAACGCTAGAAAATATAGCTATGTATGATGTAATTGGTCCCCTTGATAAAATTCAAAGCCATAGCATACAATCACACAGACATCAGTTCAATATGACTCAGAAATCTAACCTGTGTCACTACATGAAATTCGTAAAGCCCATTTGGTACGACAAATGCAGTTTTCTTTCTGTCTTGAGGTCGTACTTCCACCTGCCAATACTCGAATGTAAGATCCAAGGTTAAAAACTAGCAAGCACCTTTCATGGCGTCTAACGTAGCACCAATTCGAGGAAGCGGAAAAAGTCGCGTTTCGTTATAGCATTAAGACGAAGGTAACTTAAACATAACCGAAGGGAGGAATCTTTTTTTTACTCAAACGATTGGCGAAGCCCAGCGTGATGATGAAGGTACAATAATCTCCTTTTCGAACATCTCTTTTATCACTGAGTCCAGCTGTGGCTGATAATACACTAGCACTCTGTGTGGTGGCTGACGTAGTGACATGTGGTGGCCTGTGCAAATGGAGTGCTGTACAGTAGTCATCCGGTTTCCAGAAATATTCTACCACAATTGTGACAGGATACACAGCTTTGGCAACGGTTTGGCTGCAGAGCTCGGAAATGTGGTCATAACCGATTCTGGGATCAAGGTAAGACTAGGTTTACCATTTGTCTTCATACTATGCTATCGTGCACTCCAGTGGCTTTGTTCATTTCACAAGCCAGAAGGTCAAGTGGCGCGCTGGCAGGAGTGGTTGCAAGAGTTCGATTTTATGTGCAAGTATCGACCTGGAAGCCGAAATTTAAACGCCGATTCTCTTACTGTATACGTTAGCACAGCCCCTAAGATCAATTGGTCGTCTCTGAAAGCGGCGGACTCCGATCTGCAACTTATTTACCAAAGACAACTACATGGAAATAATAAGCCATCTACGGCAGAGTTAAAAGATCGTCTCTTAGCAACGCGCCATCTTTGTGCCAAACGGAGCCGTTTGAAACTGTATGGCAGCACGTTATTTCCAGTCAGTGAGTCGAAACAGCCCCCTGTTGATAGTACCACGCGTCAACGTTAAGAATATTGTGGATTAAGTGCATCGTGAACTCGGTCACTTGAGAAAACGAAAGACCGAACATGTTATTGCGGGTTTCTTTAAGGCTTTTTATTTTTGTGAGGTCAGTTAGGTGTTGTCATTCTTCCGTCAAGTTAGCGGTACTATAGTTTGTTTTATTTCCTGTTGAGTTTCATTACTTATTCAGGCAGTTTTGAAGTGTTACTTGTATTGTAGTTTAATCCTTTTCGGAGTAAGTGTTCTTCTATCTCTGTCAGAGGTTGCTTTGATAGGTTGACTACACAGTTGTTTGTGTTTTCTTCCGTGGGTGGTTTTGAAATATTGATTAGTTTTTTCTTTGTTCTCTGTGTCATCTACCTGATATCCTGATCGCTGTTGTCAATATTGCCAAAGGTTTTGATGTCAGTATCCTCTCTGGCTTCCTTTGTTGGTTATCCATGACGTGTTGGTATTTGTGGATCCCGTAAAGGCAGAAAATGGATCTAAAGTTCGTGCTGATGATGTTGTTCAGTAAAACAATGAAGGCTCCACGACCAAATCATCCAATTCAGAGAACAAAGCTCCACCTAGAAATTGGTCAGTCTCTTATTGGCATATGTGCTGGTTTTCTGTCCCCAAGTGAAAATCAACTCTGGGATGCAGGTGTACATCCAGCTGACGAGTTCAAAATCGGATAAGACGCTCGTTTTGGATTTCATTGCTAGCCACTATCGATCTTTGCTTATAATTCTTATGACTGGCAATATCGAGACAATCCTCACAGGATACAAATATACCAAAAAGAGACTGATCAATTACAATCCTAAACATCAATGGAACGATTCAAACAACCAATACAATAATTAATGGTGACTATAAATTATAAAAAATTTCTTTCATTGAAAAAATTTATCTGAAAACTATAAACTGATTTACATGAATACAATAAATAGAATATTTAAGGAAGTTGAATTTAGTCGTGAAAAAAAAATCTAATTTAGTTTACTTCAGTATGTTTATAGCTAGCTCTATGTTATTCACTCTCAATTATATAGATTATCAGAATTGATTTGAAACTATATGTTCTAGGGATGAAATGATGAATGTGAGAATGAATAAATTAAAAAAAAGAAAAAAAACAAATTAGATTGGTTAAAAACCCCATTATCAAATGATTGGACAAATTCCTAAATAGATGCCTCTAGAACAAGAATTCATCTATATTCTTCGTCATAAATAAATAAATAAGAAGAAATGCTATCTTTTCAATATTCCCTATTGACAAATTCTATATGAGTCATTTAGTGGGTGAAATTGAAAAGTTTGTATCTTGTTTACCATAATATAGATAAGAAGGATATTAGAAGACAGACAGAATAGAAAAAAACAATACCTAAACAAAGGTTAGTATGTATAGCAAACAGTTTTTCTTTTGATTAAGTGATAAATAATTCACTGACAATAGGTCAGGTATTTTTTTGTTAGTCTGTTTATTTATTCATCATATCGGCAGATGACGTTTTTAAACTTATTTCTTTCTTGGATTATTCTTTTAAGGTAGTGATTATTTTTACATTAACTTATCTTTACATTAACCTATTTCATAAACTTGGAAAAATTTATAAGGGTTTATTTCTTTAACAATCAAAATATTTATGAATTCATAAGAGGAATGAAAAAGATCAATCAGTGATATTGTAGATAGTCTAGTTAACATTCTAAACACTACCGATTAAAGACTACTTCAGTATGAAGGTGAATAATACAAGCAGTGGTCTTGAGTTCTGTTAGAGGTAGGAGGGCAGTTATCACTTCCCAGTTGCCCACACCGTGGAAGGGTTCTTCTAGAGGTACTTCAAAAGGAAATTGGGTTAAAAGTGATCTTAATGACCTAAGAGCGTGACCGCAGTGCCCAAGGGACAACTGTTTGACGTCGGTCACACACGACCTTTATGTGGATAGTTTTTCCGTTAGCTCCGTACTTGTTGAGACCTTACCGCCGAAGACGGAAATCCGTGGGATAAGGCGAGGTGTGCATTTTTAGGGTCGACCTTTTCTAACCCCACCCCTCCTTGTGGGAAGGTAGCATCGCTGTTATGCTGGTTGTCTGAAGGAAAAACATTACCGCTGCCACACCTATGTACACTCAGCAGTACGACTTCGGACCTTGGGTTTGCTGCTTTTAGTCTCACCGCTCTTCAATCAACCTCCCTGGTATGGTAGGACCTTGAGGAACGATTGTTCCAGCCAGTATAGCTCGATTGGTTCATCACGATAGGTAAGCCCGACCACCACGTCAAGGTAGCAGCAACGGTCGAGTTAATACAAGCAACCAGTGATTCAACAATAATAAGTCCATGTTGAAACCTGAAGGTTTTATGTATGTTGGTACAATAAAACATTTGGTATTTCTGCATGATCTTCAATTTCTTTCTCAATTACAACGGTTGCACATAGAACGTAATGACTAAAACAAAACTTGAAGTTGATTATTAGTGAGGTCTTTTAGCTAACATGTAGCAGAATTAGAGCAGTAATTCAGTGATTTCAACTTAACATTACATAGTGACGAAGGTTATTTCGGATTAAATAATCAATTTTGTACAAATATCTCGATATTTTTCAAACTGAAATTGATCTTGAACAAGTTCGAAAAAAAAAGAAACGTATATCTTGAATATATTATCAGATATTGAGTCAGTCCATATATTTATCAAGTAAGTATGAATAACTTCTTATAATGTGGTTAACTGGTTAGATTAAAAGATTCTTTTATGCTTTATATTTTCTTATTGATTTACAGTGACATGAACGAAAGTCATTTAGTCTTTGCAAACTGAACTATTACACAAAATTTATTACAGAAGTTAAAAGAAACAAAATGTTTTCCGATTATTTTGAAACTGTTTTCTTCAGAATATATGGATATTATATCTTATAAATGATTTTGGCAATAGCTATGTAATTATTTCAATGAATATATGAGAGTAATTTATGCATAGCACAAATACGAGTTCCCATGATCACATGATTAGAACATGAAAAAAAATATCCATAAAAAAACTACGAATTTTTCAGCATTGTATAGAATCGAATGTGGAATAAATTTTAATAATGACACATTATCATTAAGAAATCAATTAATAAACCACTACAAACTAAGGATCAAGTGATATCGACTTCAATTTATTTTGAAATTGTTTTGCTAAATCAAAACTCAGAAACTTTCCTGTCTAAATCGAACCATAATCCACTTTCATAAGTAAATATTTGTTCTTTAAAAACGATTCTATCAAATATTCTATCGGTTTATGAGTCTAAAATTAGTAAATAGATTATTCGGTTAACAATTATCACTATAAAGGTGTCCGACGTGAGTATGGTCATTCAGCTCTCTATACAGTATCCCTTCTGTTTTCACTAGTTTAATTAGTCAAGTATTAGAAGAGTAAATAGTGGCTAAATCACATCGCAGATTATATCGGAATGCAATACATTTTATAAGACTAGATGCCATATCTTGGGGTGAGATAAAAAAAACAGGACTAAGCTTATCATTAAGACATGAAGCTTGTAGTAGTGAGTTCTCCGAGGAAGGTGAAGTCGGCGCAGAAGATGTTCAGAATAACAATGAAAGATATGCAATTAAACCATCTAGCTCGAAGAATTCAATACCACTAAAAATATCAATTTGAGCTAAAAAATTTACTCAGCATGGAAGTTAATGCTAATCGTAAGTTTTCAGTCAACTACAAAGGTTTGAAATAGACATATATACATGAAAAAAGTAATTATTTTATAGATATATACTCTTAATAGTATACTTACTACTGGACTGGACGTCTCACGTGATACTTCCTTACAGGTCCCCTCAGAATTTTCTATACAATCTGGATAATAATAATAATGGTGAGAAGTGTAAAAGGTGACTATTAGGCAAATTAGAAATTATTAGGGTTTTTTATACAATTTATTTATTTGTTAAAAATTCTAATAAACAAATAAGATAGATTAACCAATTAAAAAATGTTGAAACTAATAACTGATAACCAAATTAATCAAAATTTTGCAAAATGTTCTATTATCGTTTAGAAAAAAAAATAACTATTGACGATGAAGAGTCCAGTTTGAATGTGTACCAGTTCATGTCGTCATACTTTAGACTCATATTGGACGATAGTTAAAACGATAGAAAGCATAACAGTAATAATAATAATGATAATTCAGATTGCCCCAATTAGAAATTTTGAGAAAGACAAATGAATAAAAAAGTGAAGATGTCGTAAATGAAATTAAGCAAAGTACAACTCGGAGAAGGTAATCTTATTGTCGACGTTATTTAGTAAAGCTGTGTAATCGTATTTATAGTTATTTTACACATAGAAGTTTAAAAATACAATCAGTTCCTTACCAGGACTAATATATAGGTTATACAATTAATCATAAAATCGATATCCAATAGATGATGGTGAGTCAATTTGACAATGTAGTTATCAGTTAGTGAAAACATTCATAATAAAATAGAAAGGTGTTGTCTTCATCAGGTTCAAGGATTCCATGGGTTTTTTAAAATGTTTTAAAAAGTGAAGCTAATCAAACAACTATAAGAGGGGAAAAGTATGATGGTCAAGTTCAAAGTAATACACTATTATTTGCAGTGAGGTAAAAACAAGAATGTATTTACTCTATTAGAATAGATTTCAAGTCATAATATCTAATGTATCGTTATTCTAAAAATCCTAGTAACCCCCGAATATGGATAAGAGTTAAGTATTTTGAAGTTTGATGATATCTATTGATCTGGTTAACTTTATGTTTGTTGAGGCGTAAGTAAGTAGGAAGTAATCTATGTGTACATTTGGTTATTTAATAAATTAGGCATTTCTGATATACCAACAAAATCACTTCAATATATTTTTATGTAGTATCTTGAAAGCACAGTGCTTAAACAGGCGATTAGTAAAACGACGAAATAATCCAAATATGTTGACGATACGTTTATTGTCTGCAGCAGTAAACAGCATGCAATCCACCTGTTAGAACTCTTCAATAATGCTCATCTCAACATACAATTTACTATGGAACACGAAAAGAATGACATATTCCACTTTCGTGATATTGCCATACAACGGAGGGAAATCGGGACAGCTCAACGTTCGGTTTATCAAAAAAGTACTTGGGATGGTCCTTACCTGAATTTCAGTAGTTTTTGTCCAACCAGTTAAAAGAAAGCGTTTGTCAAAACACTGTTTTATAAGGTAAAAAGAATATATGCCACCGACAAATTGGAAGAATTGATGAAGGTTGAAAAAACCTAAGAGACAACTTCTACCCACAGAAATTTGTTGAAACATATAAAAAATCTAAGGAAAATAAGATGGGTGTGACTACAGTCAATAAAAAAACAATATCTATAAATCTCAACTTCAAAGGTGATAACGTTGCAACCATAAACAGCAGGAGGCTTAACACTGCATTAGCCGGAACTTACCCGACAGTCAAACTATTAATTCTGTATAAAACATGTTCAACAACCTAACCAAAGGTCGAAAAGCACCTCTTTCTTGTTAACGCCAACTATGTTTATAAATTTATGTGTACCTGCCAAACAGGCTACATAGGCCGAACAGAAAGGAGAGCATATCTTAGATTTTTAGAACATATTCCAACAAGCCTTAGAACAAGAGAAAGATCGACTTTAAAGTGTAATTACTAAACATGTCTTGGTGCCAGGACATCAGATTGATACCTTTCAATCTCCCAAGGTGGTTAGTAAACAGCCAAACTCCAGTCTTCTGATGTTTGCTGAAGCCGTTGCTATCAGAAATCAAAAACCTGATTTATATGTAAGTAATTTAAACCCATTTTGTAATTACCACAGGTTGTAAGCAGCTGACGAGAACTAAACGAAATAGAATGAATTCATGCTATCTTGCTAAAATCTTTGTTCTTGCTCTTTTCAAGATGATAAAGAGAACTATGTGTGTGAAATATGTAAAATGTCTAAAGTTTTTACTAGAGAATTGAATACTCTGTTGGTGATATCTGATGTGTACATTTCTTTGCATGTAATGCTTCTCTATTGAGTTTACTCGTAATTTGATATCGTAGTTGAGGTATTTCAGCCTTCGTGAAGGAAATTTGTATGGTAAACACGGATGTAACGATTTGCTTTTACAAATTAATGATAGGAAATCGCAAAATCAAATCGTTTCACAAACTACTCACCTGTTTCAACAGATTGACCAGACTTTTTAATACCTACAAGATTGCAGACTTGACCTAATAAAGGTGTTGAACATTTGTTATTGTCTGATTCACGATGACCAGGGCTTTTGTGACTATTATCACAGTATTGATTACCACTACTGTGACCTTTGTTAAAATTACTATTTTCGCTTTCAGTTGTAGTTGGATTATTCCCAAAGTTTGATGAATTATTCGAATTAAATCTTGGTGTATCTTGTTTTCTTAAAGAGGGTTCCCCTACAGAAATACTATCCGTGAGAATAGGAAGTAAAGCAAGAGGAGTAGAAATCGGAGACATTTGTCCAACGGAAGTATTAAATAGTAACGGTGTAAATGCAGAACCTACAAGTGAAATTCGAAGTATATTGTATAGACTTTTTTAAAACTTTGATAATTAAAAGCATTTGACTGATGCTGAAAATATAAAATATAAATCGCTAGTTCACGGAAGCAATAAATTCAAGTAGCTAAATTGTTAACATTCTTAACTGTTTATAGCGAGATATACGAGGTAGGATATAAAGTTAACAGTATAGGGTTTATACTTCATAGGAATACAGAAAGATGAACAGAATACAAGACAAAAGTGAAGAATTCGGCTATGAAGGTATCAAGATGTGGAGTAAATTAAATAAGGAGTGTATCTATAGATTAAGAGTTGTTATTACTACTCTGGAGTCATTTGTTTCTAACAATCTCATTACCTAAACCGGTTGGTTTCACATAGCTTAGACAGAGAGTTAATAATCTTATATAATAGTAGTATGTCTTTATCGAGTTATACTTATCTATCAGCTGACTATCAATGTTTGGAATGATTTCATCAGTTCTAGTAAGAAGCGCCAACCTGTACAGTTAACAAATTTGAGGATGAAACAGCAAGTTAACGGTTTTATTGAATGAGGAACGGGCTATAATACAAACATTAGTGAGATAATAGTGTGGATTATTGGGTTATTTCAATGACTGAATAGTATTGTTAACTGTAGCATTTTTCGTAGTCATGTTTAGTATGAAAAATGTACCATATGCATACAAGAAAATTATTGAGAAATTACTGCACAGTGACATGGTAAAAAGTCTGCTTAAAGGTTTATGTGAAGCTTACTCGGAATAGGCATTGAAGTAACTTGTGCACCAACAGTGGCAGGTATAATGCTTGAGTTATAGCGATCATTAAAATGAATTGAAGTCAATGGAAGCGAGAACACTGATTGTTGTGAAACGGTCGCCGTTGTCGTCGTCAGCAGCGACGTAGTCGTAGATGATATGACCGCTTGTGTTGCACTCGTAGAGGAACCCATCTCAGTTGTTATAGATGCCGACTTACTTGTTGACAGAAAAGGAGTTAGCTTGTAGGGCGCGAAAATGGAAGGAGTGAGAAGCAGTGATGGTGTCGATGAGGATAATAAACCGGTAGATGTGAATGAATTCCCCTTACTACGGTTTGATCCATTTTCTCTAGGGATACCTGATGTGCTGTATTTCGATTCAGAAGAACTCAAAGCCGCCACAGCAGCGGCATATCCCATTACACGCATTTCCTTCCCCTAAAGTTAGGATAAATTTGTAGATAGAGACTAAATATTATATATATAACGTTTTAAAGAATCAGTATTTAGGAATGAAATATTCATCAGTTGTTTAAAATAATCTAAAAGCACATCAAACATATCGTCAGTTCCGTTGCTTTTTTTCGTGCAACACGTTTACGTCTTACGGCTTTTTAATTCAGATGAACTTTTGGTCCTAGTATTGGTCATACAGTAACCGGATTCTGGATTTCCAAACAAAAAGGCCAAAGAAAATGGCGCAACGGTGATCCAACAAAACATAACGAATCACATGAGCTACAGAGCGTAATGGATATACAAGAGAAAATGAAGTCGTATAATCCTCCTAATTGAATTACGCCCTTAATTTCATGATACAAAATCCATTGATTGAGGGTTTTTGTATAATTTTACGGCATAATGTCCATATTTTGTTGATAAAGACAAACTGCAGTCTGGAGTAATACATTTCACATAACCCAAATGAAAAACACTAATATCTATCGGAATGTGATTTACATACCATGGTACAAACTCAAGTTTCTTTTTAATTTCAACCATCGAAGAATATCAGATTGCTAATCGGGGTTATCAGAGCTTTGAATAACCAGTCAGTCAATAAAAGATCTAAGTATACAAATAATAGTAGAATGTAGTGCAAATATGTGCGATTTTCAAACAAATTAGGTGAAGTATTAATTGTAAAACAACTCAGCACTTTACACTGACGACTATTTCACCAATCTAGAACAATAAATTTATGTAAACCTGCTATGTCAGGATGAATATTAAGCAAAGTTGAACATTTGGAACGGTCCTATCTGAATTTATTGTTTATATTTATGTTGTATAATTTTATTAAGTACTTAAACGTATATTTTTGTATTCCTCTACTTGTAAGCTTCGGTTCGACGCATAAACTATTGTTGAATGTTTTACCTTTTCCAAATTATTATTTTATTATGGGTCTATCACTCAGCCGATATTGTAATTTTCTAAGTCTGCTGATGTTTGGTCAAGAATTTACTCTGAATTAAATCCAAACTGTATAATTAGACGCTATATACCTAATGAGTTGTTCTCGATTCTGATAATCGAGCGACTGAGCGAGTGTTGGTAACTGCATTATGGACAATGGTCATTAGTGTTACTCTCGACTGTTATCTCACATTTATCGTGCCATTGATTAGCCGGTCATCGATACTAATTAGATAGATAATCTAGAAGAGTTAATTAATGCTCGGACAAGATTAATATGACCGCCCTCATGTCCTACAGTTCGATCCCACAGGCGTCAAATAACTAAACAAGAAAATTTATTTATTTTCACTGGCACATTAAAACTAAAAGTGAAAATCTCTCAATAAAATTCTGAATAATTAAATGCTTCATAAACGTGGTATCTAAATCAAAATTGATCCATAAAATTGGAATCCTCATAAAAAGCAGTATAGGTAGTGATAGTAAGAATATGTGTGTACGCATTTAATTTTGTGAAAGAAAGTCTTACCTTCATTGAAAGATGACGTGAACAAAATCCACGTCGTTGAGATTCTTTGGTACAACCTTCTCGACTACATAAACGGCGCCATTGTTTTCCATTGAATTTTTTCCTTACACCATTAGGTGTCTTGACTACATCTCCCTTAATATTGCACAAGTTAAAAGTAGACAAGATGAAGGAGGTTATCAACAGCAGACCAAATACATTTTATTCAATTTATGATTACATTAAATATTGTTAGATAGTATTTATTATTATCACTTATTTTCCATTTAATTTACTCAGAATTGACTTTTATCAGATTAGGTAAATGTAATCAATATTCTTATTAAATTTTACAAAGTGTACTTTGTTTTATGTATTATCGACTGTCATTTAATTATCATTTACTTGCGCTGATCATTAACAAAATATAGAAATTTTGTAAAAACCACTGGTGAAGATAACCTAATTTTGACTGGTTATGAATGTAAGCGTTCAGGTGGAATATTGAGATGCTCAAAGGTAACTGATCTCAATGGTATAAAGAGCTACGCATAGAGAAATAGATTTTAAATTATATGATAACGATTTTAGAGCAATAAAGAATGACGAATAAAGATCAAGTATGCAATGAGTACACAAAAAAAGCCATATTATAATAAGTCTTTTATAGACACTAGATTTTCTTAAATTACTGACCATCATTTGTGGTACGGTAGCTGCTGTGTGGCGCATATGTACCTGGTGCCCTTTTGTACCAATATATATGTGTTTAAATAAATAATAAATAAAAATGCGAAATCGTCTAATGTCTGCAGGTTAAACGTGAGACATTCTAAAGGATGTAAAATTATCCTTGTTTTTGAAAAAACCTTTGTTAATACGATTATCGATGCTAGTAAAATTACGATACTAAATTTCAAAAATGAGACATTTCAGTTGACTAATTCATTGCACAAAAGTTAGGTTAGACATAATCTTTAGATGCTAGAACCAAGAACAAGTAGCCTTTTTAATTTACAACAGCAGTTACTCATAATAAGTTTGTGAGTAGTAACAAAACCTACATATGATCAAGACAGCACACATACTAATTATGTAAGAGAAGCATTTTAAGAGAATGAGGTTTTTTATTCGAAAGAATACACCGACTACACTGACAATTACCATATTGTTAACAAGTAAAAGTTTTGAAGATATCATAGAATTAAAATTTGATGAGGAAAAGGTTGGTACAGTGCAGCACTAAGGAATTTCCAAGACGACATTGATGGTAAACTCAGAGAACGATGATTATATTTGGCAACCCTACTTAACACCACAGTTAGTTTGGAACAATGAAATGAAGTGGTAGTGTGTCCGTGTTTTACCCTAAAGAGTTCGTATATATAGCTTTTTGGAATATAAATCTAATCTAGTTCATTGTACTGCCCAGTAAATTGAAGGTAGCCTGGATGTAAAGAAATTTGATGATTGTTGATCTGGAATAGTTAAAGCAACATGAAAGTGTTTCGTGGAGAGAAAAAAACGTGATCTTGAACTTTTAAACTGTTTCAGTAAAACATAAAATGATGGTTTTATACAAAATTGGAAGTTTCTTATCAGGAGAAATCTGTGCAAACGTCGATACAACTTGTAAACGACCAGCCATTAGCTAAATAATCATTCAAATTTGATCGTATTCCAGTGACTAATTAATCAAAAGTATCATCGCACTTTCTAAAGACAATTTTTTTTTAAAGAGGTGAAAAGCAACAGTAATAAAAGTGATGGTTTGGAAGGATATTATTATTAAACGCTATTATTCGTTGATAAGTAAATTCTATATAAGTCCACACAGCAACTACGCACAGGTTACGTTTTTCTTTAGTCCCATAAATAATACGATATTACCAAATCAAAATTGAGAGGGGTTTTAAACCAACAGTAAGACGAGTAAAATTCAGACATTCGGGGACGGAAAACCTAAGTGTGCAGAACTGATAGTGAGTAAATTCAGCTAGCAAGCTACTATCAAACAATCAGACTATTAAAACTTACAAGCGTTATTCATGATGAAAAATTCGGGCTTACTTTCTTAAACCTTTGTTGTATATTTACAGCTGTCAATGCGGCTGCAATCGAAGACCCACTTGCACCGGGTGAAATCCACTTAGAATTGGGTGGATAGAATTTTCCGGGATCTAACAAAAGAGATGCATTACCCAACGGGATAATAGAGGAAGTTGAAGACTGAAAACTTTGGTACAAGTGATTTTTATTCGATTCCATATCAGAATTTGATATCTCTACATTGTTATAACCACTAATGCCGCAAGTGCTGACAGTATTTGTAACAGTTTGAAAAAATGAACTCGTTTCAGAATTACAAGTGGCTACAGAAAAGATTTGAGATTCGAGAGTGCTTGAAGTTTTTAGGTTCTTGTTTTGCATTTCAAGTATGTCTGAAGTACGCTTTTTTAGTCTTCGCCAGTGAGAGGGTGACTGATCTGTATGTGGAGTTAAATCTAATCTAGATGACGATTGTATTAGGCACAAAGAACCGTTGTTGTTGTTGTTGTTATTGTCGTCATCATAATATGTAGATGGAGTTGGAGTATTTTGTACTGGCTTAGGACTTGTATCGGCACAACAGACATTGTCTTTACAAAATGGAGAGCCTAAAAATTATGGAAAAGTAGAAATAACAGTATTCACAATCGAAATAAACAATAAACAAAAGATAAACAAATTTTCACAGTATTCACATCTCTAACGAATAAATCTTAATAAGCATGAAATCCATTAGATAGCCTATACTAATAGAGTAAACGTTCTGAGTTAATATTACAGAAAATTGTGGTTCATTATTATGCTGGCTTTGCAAAATAAATCCATAAACGATCGACTTTTATTTATGTAGATAGATAGATTGTAGCAAATCAGAGCAATATTGATGCGAATCTTGTGATCATATTTCTATCAAACTAAAGAGACTGTATCAAATTTACAGTCATTGTATTCAAGGGATATGTGACAATAAAAATGGAAATATACACGTAAATAAAATAAACACGTGAGTTACGCCTGATATACTGATCGGTTAACTAGAACAAAATAGACAAAACAAGTAAAACATACTTTGACCATAGCAAATGTTTGTAAGAAATAGCTCAACTGTTGTGTTAGTCGAATGATAACCAAGTCATAATAAATTAGTCTGATTGTACTATTACGGTAATCTAGAGTAACATCTTTCAGATCGAATTTTACCTATAACTTAGATTACCAAGAAAAATCCATTGCATATAATAATTTAATTGGTTAATCACTTATATTTTGTCTGCTTTTCGATGTTATGATTGGACAATAAAATGCTGAAAATCATGTGATATAAATACTAGTTATAAAATCCCTAGATTAATGAATATCGCTTTGTTTTATTATGTTACGTACAATACAAAGAATACTACCATTGTCATGATTAAAATTCGGCCATTAAGTAGTTAGAAATGGCCTAGAAATAATCACATGACTTTTGTCTGGTAATATTAACGAGGGAAATACGTAGAACAAACTATAAATTGTTGGTGGAATTGATTGGTTTTATCTACTTATAACGTTGTTCAGTGGATCAGCAACTCGATATAAAAGTCTTAGATGAAAATAAGTTTTGTGAGTATAGTCAAGACTATGTTGGTTGTTCTAGGTTAGTTCTAACAGTTAGGTGGTTTTTTCTATGTGGCCTAAAACGAAGGCAAATACCACCAATGGTTGTACTATGACTGTACAGTCACTCACTAAATGATTGACGACTACTATGAATCTTTATCGACTGAAGTGAGTGCGATATGTGGTGAACATCTCAGCTGCAAAAGCCTGACTTGGTAATTGAAATATATTAGAACTGGAATATGTTTGAGAGATAACAGAAGCTAAACAGAGACACTTCATCAGTCCATAAAGTCATTGGCTATCAGAGCCCACACGATAATTATATTTAGTGGATGCATATCCTACGTAAAACAGCTCAAAATCAGTTGCGGTGAATTCATACATTTATTAGCCACTTCTACTTATTGAACTCAAATACCATTTCATACTCTTAATTCCTCTACCTTTTTCCGCCTTTTAGAGTCATCTTTTCTATGTTTAGCTTTTTACTATTATCAACACGATCATTCTACTACTGTGTTTTAGAGATTGTTGATTTTCTTTTTCTATGTTGGTGGGATGAGGAGATTTAACTCGATACACATATACTCTAGATTCTTTATTGTTTATGACCGATCGAGATATACTATGAGCTGTCTACTCAACAAAGATGTCATTGGACTTTCATTGTTTTTACCTAATTTTGTCATAGATAGATACTTCTACATATGATCCTTTCATCATCATTGACCTACCTTGAAACATTCTAATCAACTTTGAGTATTCAGATGTCATAGTTCTGTTTAATGAAAACTAACGCTTATGATGAGTAGTGCTGAGGTGCACTTTAGGGGACTACATGATGGTAGTAAATTGGTTGATGAATGTCAATTACGTCCGAACTAATTGAAGAAACTTATTGATGTCTAGAACATAAATATAATAAAACGATACTAATTTGAAACAAAATCCAAAACAAGAACGTTTCTAATACGTTCTCAAGGTAACAAAATGAGTCCCGAATGTCATAAATACGGAACTTTAAATATAAATACAATGAGATTAATATATTAAGAGCCTTTTGTTATATTATTTCCTATCAAAGAATTCGTCAAGCACAAGGAACCCAAAGTGATCTACATACTGAAACAAGGATCTATGAACAAGTAATGTAAATAAAACAATCAAAAATAAGTAGTTAGAAAGCTCCGTACAGTCAGAACACAAAAGACTAAATGATTATGGTTAAATTTCATGAAGTCTGGGTCATTCATAAGAAGTGGAAAGTGGCCAATCACATCACGAATTATGTATAACAGAAAGAATAATTTTAGCGAAAGAGAGATTTATAAATTATATGCCCCCAAAAGCCCTGGTACGGCCGAGAGTGGGGAGAGTCTGCTCTCCCTCTCGAAATACTCTCATATGGCCAGCGAATATATAGCCTCTGACAGGGAAGTCCTACTCACTGCCTTCTCGTGGCGGGGGTGTTGTGTACGAAAGTGAGAGGACGAAAAGCGAATATCCGGCGCTTTAACAGGGTTGGTGGACATGGAGGTCCACCTAGGGGAGTTGGAAAACCCTGATTCCAAACCAATGGTGCACATGGGCTCCAGTATCCTGACGGAACAAATGGCGTACGAATCAACCGTTGATCACCGGCTACCATGGGAATGCATCTCCTCACGATGCTCCACTGCCTTGTGGATCAGATATTCAGGTCAAAGGCTCCGGGTGTGGCCCCCTAAGAAAACCACCTGCTTCAGTTTGGGCACCTGGGCAGTATCACAGCCCTCACACAAATCGAATGAGATTTTTGAGGCGCATATATATCTGGTGCTTCCTTGTACCAATATTTATGTGTTTAAATAAATAAAAAATGTCTCGATAACAATAGTGAATGGTAACTCTGGGATCCATTTGTGGACCAATACTATGCATATACTTTTTATCGTATAACTGATAAATAACTAAACTACTTATATTTGTATTCCCTTATTGTAGGCGTTATTTGGAATAATAAACTATTGTTATATGGTTTACGATTCTTAAATTATGCTCAGTCTATCATCTACTATCTCCCTTATCAAACGTTATTATCTATTTTATGGTACGATGTGATCTGTTTGACTGGTATATAAACTCAGTATGTTTGAAATATAACGATTCATACAACAGAGATTGGTGTTCTGGACTTAACTGGCTGGGCTAGGCAGAAAGTAGGACCAGCAAGTGCTGTACACTGCACGTACGGGTTTTGTGTGTCACTGGTCCGATCGTTAACTCACTGCTTTCTAATTGGCGGTATTATCACGTCATATATTAGACAGAGCATCCACTCGGCCACAAGTTATAACAATAAATTACGAGTGGAAAAAAGGGAATGAAAAATGAGATAAATGACGTGGTTTGTAAATTCTAGCTGAAGTACACAAATTTATGTAAATACATAAGCAATTAGAGCATGTCTCAAAATGACGCTGTGGCATTCCATCAATTTAGGTGATTGAGATGTGTTGTGCATGCCTGATGTGTGCCATGATGTCCTACGGTTGGCAGGACAAAAAAGCTTGAAAAAAGGCTAGGTACGGGAAATTTATTAGTAAATTCATGACTACAGATAAATAGATGAATTATCTTTTAACGCAACCTGTGAAATATCGTTCGTCTTATCTTAGAAATTTAAGTCATGATCCAAATGCTTGCTAATAGCTTATATTTCAAGTTACAACCACAAGAATACTTATAACAACAGTCTGTCTGTATTCAGTCATATTTCATACAGATATTTACGGTCGTCCATCTAATGATGAAAGTTATTTGAAGAGCAATCAAGAAGTTTTCCAGAAACATTTGAAAACTACCTTAACTGGATATTTCCATCAAAATCTAATATACCCATTAAGTTAAAAAAGCAATTATTTCGGCAGAAAATAATTTTCACGGAGTTCATTTACAATACTGTGGGTCTGTACGGTAAGTCTGTAAGGTAACTTTATGTTTAGTATAGTAATAAGCTACTTTTGATCAAAAAAATTAACTACACGGTCTCAAATAAATAGTTGTGAAGGCATATTTATTTTTTTATCAATAACAACCCACGGATACGTAAGATTTGTAGCCACAGTAAGTAAGTTAATTAGAATTCACTGTTTTACTAACTCCTTGGTCTGGCCGCACTAGGTAAAAGGTAAATATGTTTATCGTAGATTGAGTCAGACTACATGTTATATCGAAAACCAAATCCCATCTTAACTAAAACTGATTTTTTCCGTGAAAGCCAGATAGTTGGATTGGAGACTTGTCCTGGCTACTCATGGGTTGTAATGACTTTATTTGTAGCAATCAGCTACGAGTTTAGACTTTATTAAACAGTCAACTAAGTATTCTAAGATAATCTTACATCTGATTTATAGTACAAGAAAGCCTACTAAAATACATCTATATAACGGGAAAGATTCACATCTCAGGAAGATGAATATTCATGAATTTCGTTTCCTAAGACTTAGTTGTAAAATTATCAGTATTTTATACTAAACAACCATTGCAAGCTTTAGGAGAATTTCATGATGATTTTTCCTGGAAGAAAATGTCGCATTAAGTTTGATGAAGAATACTGGAAACGAGTCTTATGATTAAATTAAACAACTGTTAATATTAACCTGATTGTGAACTCTGTTTCTCTGAATGCCAGCAACATTTTTAGATGATTTATTTATAGCCTACAAAACCCTGTGGATCATAACAATGGAGTTCAGAATTTGCGAGTGTGCAAATGAAAGTGGTTAGATAAGATTTTCATGAACAGAATATCAACTTTTGACAAAATATTGGTAACTTTTTTCTTCTTGAACTGGCACTAAGACAGACGATTAAATTTTCTCCACTCATACATGTTATGTTTTTGGAACCTCGGATTTCTTGTAAGTTTTGTTAAGAACCAAATAATGGGTTTTGGATATTAACATTAGGCATCAGTATTTTCTTGCCAAGATATGTCAGTTTAGGCATGAATATAAAAGCAATAAACAGAAACAAAATGAGAGTCACGTACTTTCGTCTTCAGTCTTTATAGAACATATGGAAACGACTGTATCTCCAAAATTAATATTTTTAATCACCTGACCTCCGTCGGTAAATTCATTTGTAGAAACCACTGCACCAGTTAGTCTGATGTCTGACGGTAAAGAGCTTGTGTCCATAACGTAGATTTGAAACTGACAGTAAACAAAGAAAAATGGAAGCGAACTGAAAAGACAGGTGTTGTAGGTTCATTCTCATCACTAGAAAAATACTGACATTTTACGGGAAAGTTAATTGTGAATCTCAAAATTGACATGTCTATGTTTTTGTAGAAAACAATCCCAAAACTACCGACACTCTATAAAAGATGCAGAACATATACACAACAAACCAAGTAATTATAATTTGTATTTTAAGGCATCGTACTGGATGTATAGAGTTCGTATTGTTTGGTTATGCTTTCTCGGTTGTTATGAAAGATACACCGAACTTAAGCTGTTAGCAAAATCAGTAGATGTCTATTGTTACGTTCGAGGAATGGTATGGTAAACTTAATCAAGCCAAGTTGAGTGTAGCATAACACAACTACGACAAAACAGCTGAGAAGTGACATACGCACTTAAATTTAAGTATAGATAGGTAATGATACAACTATTAAAATTCAGGAACGAACGTATAACCAGACCACTGAACTTACAAAGAGTACATGACCTTCGGAAATAAACTGAGAAACAAAATTGACCACAAAGACTATATTGCGATTGGTCCAATATACTTTAGGTTGATTCACAGTGATATATACAAAGTTTTGGTATAATAAGCATTTGTTTTGCTAAAAGTTAAGCTTCTTTATACACATTAAAATGTACATTTCCTTTAAAATTAAACTGAAAAACATTTTACAACCCACTCACCATTTCAGTTTCAGTTTGGAAAGGACAGGAGGCTTGATGGCCTGTGTTAATCCTGGCAATTATGGTCTCTCAGCTGATTCAGCTTTCTTTTGAAAGAGTCGACGGATAAAGCCTCAACCACGTTCTGAGGTAATGAGTTCCACTCGTTCATGATTCGATGAGAAAGTCGGTAGTCAGTTGACAAGTAATTCGTTCTGGGTTTGAGAACTTTTCTGGAGTGTCCTCGTAAATTTTCTGTTTTGGAAGACAAGAAAAATGAGGGCATATTAGGTGGAAATTTATCACTTAGCAACTTGAAAACTGTAATCAAGTCGCCTCTGATTCTTCTATATGACAGCGGGAATAGGTTTAGCTTGGTTAGTCTAGTACCATACGGGAGCTTTGCTATTCCGAGAATCAGCTTAGTTGCTGTTCTACGAACCCTTTCCAAGAGTTCACTGTCTTTTTTAGGCAGGGGCTAGCTGCTTGTATGCAGTACTCAAGTTTAGGACGCACGAACACTGTATACAAAGTCAGAAACGTTTTAGCGTCGAGATGATTAAAAGCCCTGCGTATGGACCTTAAAGTTCTAAAACTTTTGGCGGCTATTGCACGGCAGTGTGCAGTAGTTTTTAAGTGTTGACTAACGATTACTCCTAAGTCACTGTGTGTCTGGACAATAGGTAGCTCAATATTATTTATCGTGTATGTATCTGTACCCTGGTGGCCAATATGCATCACAATACACTTGGAAGTATTTATCGGCAATTGCCAGGTTTGGGGACATTCAGATAATTTCTCCAGGTCATTTTGGAGTTCTAAGCTACCACCCTTATTTTGTATCACTCTCCATATCTTGACATCGTCAGCATAGAGTAAGACCGATGACGATACCAGACGAGGGAGGTCATTTACGTACAGGAGGAATAACAATGGCCCCAAAACTGTACCCTGGGGGACTCCACTAAGCACAGTTTCCTAGCTAGACAACTTGGAGTTCACCCTTACTCTTTGTTGACGCCCAACTAGGAAGTCTTTTATCTACATCAATAGATTACCTCCAATCCCGACATTCCTTAGCTTATATAACTAGCGGTTATGTGGAACTTTGTCGAAAGCTTTGCTGAGGTCGATGTAAGCTACGTCTACATGTAACTTTTGGTCCTTAAGAGCGCACCAGCTTTCAAGAGCGACCAATAAGTTTGTGAGGCAAGAGTAACCTGTTCTAAAACCATGCCGTTCTCCGAGACGATCAGGTTTTCATCGAGATACTTAAACATCTCCTTCCGAATAATCTTTTCTAAGATTTTAACAACCACACTAGTCAGGCTGATGGGTCGGTAATTCTCAGGCTTATGTTTTGTACCTGTTTTGAAGACAGGACTTACTATGGCGTTCTTCCAGTCTTTTGGTAGACGACCCTGGGTTACGGATAGGTTAAAACATATACTTAAAGGGTTCGCAACAAAGTTAGCTAATTCCTTTAGTAACCTAGGATGCAGTTCATCGGGTCCAGTGGATTTGCCTATGTCAAGCTTAATTAGCAGACCAAAGACATCGAGTTCTTTAATGGTCACGCTGTCCAGTGTTTGTGTGGGGGGATTTTCATGGACTGGTGAGAAGGGTGTTTCTATGGTGTATACATTGCTAAAGTATTTAGAGAATACTTGAGCTTTGCCAAAGTCGTCCTCCACTAGTGATGAGGCAGTACTGTCTCCCCATAGTGAAGGAACATTTCTTCTTCTTTTTCTCCTTTGGTTTATATACGAATACAAGCGTTCAGGGTGTAGGGTCACTGAATATCGAACAGATCATTGATCTCTGTCAAGGTCAAGGGTAGTCAACGCACACAAACCAATCGTACGCCATGGACTGGCCCACGCTGCAGTGGTTATTCTTTCACTTCTGTACTTCCATAGTTGTACTTTAACTAATATAATCTTGTAATAACGTCCTTTGTGTTGTACAGTCTCCATAGCATCTATTATCCTTTGATGCGTCGATGTTTCAATCCACGTAAGGGCTGGTCGCGAGGTGTGACTTCAGCGTTAATTGGTTCGTCCCCATTCTCGTCTAACCATAGTAGGCCCCCGATCATTTTGACATAGATCATCAACGTTGATGTTCTTACACTGGTGAGCAAGACTTCGAATAACGCAACCTATCATTATGTTTTTTTTCATTACATTCGGTACTTATTATTTTCCATTTTTTAACTTCGGCTATCTTTATCAGTTTCTGTGAACATTCGTTGCTTCATATCAATGTTGATTAGTATTTCAACTGAAATAATTAGTTCAATCGATATAACTAACCAATCAACTACGACTATAATCGACTATCGTGGTTCTTTAACAAGCATTAGCAGCATGTAAATGCTCCTGTGTAATATGTCTGTTAAAATACCAACCACTCGTAAGTATGGCCTCAAGGCAACACGTACGCATATCTGTTTGCAACTTATCCACTTGTATAACCAATACAGGATAAACTGCCGATTATTAAATTCATCTTTCTGCTTATTCACTGTCAACTAACTACTATCAAAAACTATCTACTAGAATATTTTACTTTCTTGACCACTGCATGCCTAATTTCTAATTGCTGAGTTCCATGGCGAATCAGAGGATACAAATGCTATAAATTTACGATGAGTTTGAACTATAAATTTCCTGCAATGTTATATCTTGTTTAGACTGTTTCGCCAGGCAAGGCTACGTGTTTGGCTCAAATTAAATTTGGACGTATACCAATTCAGTCTACAACGCTTCGTAAATCTACGAATTTCATCAGCAGATTTCAATTACTTTGGAGCAAGAGTAACCTAGGCGAGTTTCATAACTGTTAAATAATTTCGTATAATGTTTATGATGTCTAATAACATTCCGCGGCTACTTTCACTTAGACATACATTCTGTCCCTGCCATCAAATTTTGGTCGAAACTACTTACATTTATGACTCGTAAATCAACATGCTGTAGAAAAACGTATTACGTGTCAAGAGCTATCTTAGTCCATGTCCTTACCAGACATTCATCGTATTTAATGTCACTTAACGCTAAATAATAAGCCATTTTACGAAACGATTACGTTATCTAAACCTAAACTTTAGTTACATTGGTGGTTACCATTTTAATTAATGTTTGCGGCACGCTTTGTATATGCCGTTATCTCACACGGTAAATCATAGCTCCATTTCTATATTGCACGTAAGTCACTCCAATTTCTTCGGTTTATTCACATGCAATACGGGTTTGGAAAACATCTAAACGACCTCTGAAACTCTCCACGAACCCCACGATAGTATGTTTGCTACTGTACATCCAATCGCTACATTAACAATGCTCAAACGAACGTTCAGTACAATTGTCAGTATACGAAATGTTGTTACTTCGATGTGACATTACAACACATCCGAACTATTGTAGTTATTCAACTTCGACGTCGTATTTTTATCTTATGAAGTATTGTTTCCGCGTGGCTGTTATCTAATAGATGATTTCGGTACATCAATCAGCTGTTCAACTACTCCACGATCTAAAGCCTGTCCAGTTCAATTGGTGGTTTGACGACACTCATTCACGCGAATCATCGGTTTACGCAGTCGAGCGCATCTCCTGCAAACTGACAACGATATTGTCGTCTCGACTTCAACACTAACAGCATTTTTCAACGATATCATTGACATGAGTCCAGAGTGGCACTCTTGGTTTCTTATGTTTTTTTCGACATTTTTCGGTTCACTCATCAAACACGTGTGCAGCACTCACCAATTATCATCTTTTAGAGATTTCATCACCTTTCACTCTCGCTCTCTATTCTTCGACCCATATTGATTTTCACAGCAGTTATCAGTTTTTCCAAACTGACTGCAAGTTGATCAGAAGCTTTGCACAAGGAAACTACGACTTATCTTCACGGTTATACTTCTGTACTTACAGTTAGTCTGTTAAATATAGATATAACTAGAAATCGACGCTTACGAACAGTTGTCAGCGACACTTACTGACTTTGTACTTTGTACCAAGGGCAGTACAAACATCGGCATGGATTGATAATACACTTATCGTACTATAACTGTGACATCACTACTCTTGCGACAAACTTACTTTTTCTCACCTGAGGAACTCAACCACTTGTGAGAGCTATCTTTTTCAACGCGACTTGATAAAACTCCAAAATGTTTCTTTTTCTATTATTTCTATGGTTGATCGCTTAACATTCAACCAACGTCCTTGTTACGTGTTATTACTCGTGGTTTCCCGATCAGTTTCTGCAGCCTCCTTTCCATTTCTTTTACAGCTCGGCAATACCCGGAGGATTCATATTAATCGTCTGGCAACCTCCGTCGCGCGACTACTCCCAACATGTTTGGTATCGATTCAAACGGCCGTTGAATCTGGTGGGGGAGTATTGTAGGGTCACTGAATATCGAACAGATCATTGATCTCTGTCAAGGTCAAGGGTAGTCAACGCATACAAACCAATCGTACGCCATGGACTGGCCCACGCTGCAGTGGTTATTCTTTCACTTCTGTACTTCCATAGTTGTACCTTAACTAATATAATCTTGTAATAACGTCCTTTGTGTTGTACAGTCTCCATAGCATCCATTATCCTTTGATGCGTCGATGGTTCAATGCACGTAAGGGCTGGTCGCGAGGTGTGACTTCAGCGTTAGTTGGTTCGTCCCCATTCTCGTTTAACTCTAGTAGGCCCCCAATCATTTTGACATAGATCATCAACGTAGATGGTCTACAAGGGCATTCTATGGATTCCTTAACGATTTTCTCATCGTACAGCTTTCTGGACTTACGGAGGGTCGAG